TTTGTGTTTTTAACTGTTGGATAATAAAGGTTATTATTATTATACATTGGTAGTAATCACTACTGATAAAACGCGTCTACAATGAAAATGAAATTTGTGGAAAACATATATTAATCATCATGGATAAACCTAACGTAGATGTAAAATTCGTTTTAACCTCTACTAATGATGCTAAGTTGGTTGGCCAAACGCCAACAATGTTTTGCCCGAGGTTCCAATTAATCACCATTAACAAACAGTAAATGAATGAGTATGGTAGATAAAGGGAAAGGGAGAGAAGAAAAAAGAAAATCAAATTTTTTATATTTCATTTCATCCTATTCACTGAATTTTCAATAGATGATTTCAGATTATATGATGACTGGCCTAGTTTACTCCTAAAGTGAATGATGAGGAATGATGAGGAATATTTCACCTCCCTAGGAAAAAAAGATATCTAACCCTCCTTCCATAAAATGAAATTTAGGAGAGATTGATTTTTCGGGAAAGAAAGTTTTTGGTCTTGATACAAAAAATGTGGGAATCTTCCAAAGAGAGGAAGGAAGCAATCAGTTTCAAAAATTAACTTTATTCAAAGATATGTACATTATGCAAAGAAGTAAGTTTCAGGCACAAACTGAAAGAAAAAGCTCCCTCGAAAACAGCAACTTTCATATAAAAATTGAATTACACGAAGGAAAAATACTTTCTAAACAAATACTTTAATATGAAGCTGAATTATATGAGAAACACTTTTCTCTATACCTTTGTATTCCAAACATTCGTAATGGAATGGTATCAGATATCATTCACAGGATTTCTACACGATATAATTATTGGAAGAAGTGAAATTTCACTTACATGGAACACTGTCATCCTCACTAATAGACATCCTATGTTTCACCGCAAGACACTTGCCTTATTGGATCTTCAGTACCGAATAGAAGAGATTCAATATCAGAAAATTCATATACAAGTAGAAAAATCATATCTACCATAGTCAGTAATGTCAATGTTTGCTTATTGGACAAATCAATTATAAATAAGCAACAGATCAACTTGTTTTATCAAGTCTCTTTGGAGGATATCATGAATTAATATGTTTATTCATTTTTTCTCTTCTTGTGGTACCATCACCGTTAATTGTTCTTTCTTTTTAATTTTTGTATGTTCGCGTGTATTACGGAGTGGTGCTTGTTAGTTGAGTTTGAGTTGCTCTGAGCAAGATTTCGCCAATGAGTACCAGAATCTCCTGTAACGTTTTTCCATGTATCTATGTATTGTTTTTTGATCAATAAAGTCAAATTATTATTATTATTATTTTTGAAATTAATAAATATTTTACCTGAACTCAGGTAAAATAAAATCGAAAGTTTTTATTCAGGTAGAAGTGCATATGATTGTTATTGTATAAAACACAAATAAAGAAGAAATTAGTCAGTATGAAAAAACTTGAGAAACCTATTTCATAGCGGAACACTTGTCGCTGTCTAGTGAAAATCTCACAATAGTATTACTTGAATACGAAAAAGATGAATTTCCTAGAAGCATACATTGATCAAACTTTGACATGGACAACACACATTGAATATCTTGGAAAAACTATTTCTTCAATAATTCGTGCGATCTTTCTGTTCATAAAATATCTGAACATCATTCATTTCAGTCTAATTTATCGAAATTACAGTATTTAATATCTGCTTTGGGCACTTCAACATTTCCGTTAACCGGCTATCGCCCTCCTACGAACGACAACTCTGAAAAGTCGAAACTTATGCGAGCTAAGGACTAAAGAAATCTTACCTTTTAACGTGTGATTCTTAAACAATGCGAAATGGAATCGTGGAATTCGAAAGCTATGATTATGTCACAAGACGATTAATTTGAAGCAAATATTTTTGCCAAAGAATTTGAGGAATCATTTTCGTCTGAAATAGTTGTTAATCTTCTCTCCCTTAAAAGCCAAGCTAGAAATCTATATAGAGTCCCGATAACATTTCACCTGCTTCCATGAAGCCCCTAGCATAGAACAACTCTACGATAATACCAATTTTGTTTCAATGGAGACATGTTTTGGATTCTTCAAATTAGCTCAACGTGTCTTTACTACAAATTAATGGAGAAAATGATAACCAAGGAAGTAACTGTTTTTTTCTTAAAGATTGGAGTACTTATAAACCAACAACATGGATTTCTTCGTGGTCGATTTACCATTTCAAATTTACTACACTTTGTCGAACTTTTGCTTTCAGAACCTGAAAGTCATCCTGTCAAGGAGTCGAGATATTTCATTTCATAAATAATCTGTTTTAAACCATACCCAGCAATAATGGTGTTTCCCAGGGATATGTATTTGGCCGACTAGTTTCCAATATGTTTATTAGCCAATGTGTCCCTCTTTGCCGACGATACAGGATTGTATGCAAACTCAAACCTGGATAGAAATACAATGGCCAATGACCTTCAGCGAGTAGAAAAGTGGGGCTAAAAAAGGCTCCTGGATCTGAATGAGCAAAAGTGCAGCAGAAGAGAAATCGTAAAGTACCAAAAAGAAAGACCTCGGTGTTATGATAAGCCATGATAAGCCACATATTGGAAAAACTAGAAAAACTTAACCGTATTTCTTAGAACTGTTTCTTTTGAAAATATGTCTCCTGAACGATTACTCTAAATTTACAAAATATAGGTACATTTGACCAATCCTTGAGTATGCTGTACCAGTTTGAAATGCTTACTTTGTCAAAGACATTTATGCTTTATTGGAACATTCGAGATCCTCCACGGCCACTACTCAGTAAATTTGGACATTTTCATGATGAGAGACTCGGAAAACATCCATTTTGAAAAGAGGAATTGTACAAATTAATATTTAATTTCGTTATTTGATTGTTACATTCTTATTTTCTTCTTTCTCTATTCTGAACTTGATATGTTTGAACGCCTATGTCGCCTAATATTTATTGAATATATTAATAATGATAATAATAACAACCATACAAAAATCATTGTATCCCACTGGAAAAGAACAGTCTAACAAATCTTGTCTAACAATCTGATCACTGCATCCGTAAAATTAATGAAAGAATATTATACTGTTTCATTTTTTGATGCTAAATATTGATGAATGAAATGATATAAATTATAAATGCTAAATGATTTATGGATTGTCAAAAATGGAAAATAATCATGAAATAATTCAAATTCATTCAAGCGAATACATGAATTGAATGATGCTTCAACCTAAACTTCAATATTCTAACAAAAGCACTCAGTATTCAGAATTCCATCTTTTGATATTCCATGTTCATAGACATCAAAATTGATACGATCACAGGATATAGAAATATAAAACAATCTCCAAATACGCAAACTTTGCACATTTTACCTTAGTACAGTGACCAGATCAAAGTTGCAATGTCAACGTATAAATCTTCATAAATATTGAGGGAGGTCAAGATCATGAAGACACAGTATTGAGAAATTCATTCAGTATATATTGATCTTCAGAAAAGGTTCCAGCAATGCAGCACATCTCTTTTTCTTCGATCCTGCTGGGTGGCAGTATAATGTAAGTTTTTGGTGAATTATCGTATTTTTGATTAATATTTTAGTGTAAGTTTATTTCTGAAGTATTTTCCCCGTTTCGTTCTTTCATTATTTGGATGAATGATGAATGGTATATGAATAGTATTGTATGATGAATAGTATTGTATTTGTATTATGTAGTGAGATGTTTATTGTGTGAGCGTTTTTTGTGTTTCTTGCGTTTGCAGTGTTTCTTGAGCTTTTGCGTGTTTTATGTGTTGTTTACTTTTCTGTGTGTTGTATGTTTTGTGTGTGTTATGTATATTGTGATGTGTGTAGCGTGTAAGTTTTTTTCGTTATTTTCGTCTTTTGCATATTTAGAAGTTTTATGCGTTACTTGCGTTTACTGCTTTCTTTGGTTGATTGTGTGTTTTGTGCTTTTATGTGTTCTGTGTGTATGTGCCCTATGTATTGTTTTCTGTGTGTATTTGGCATTTTCTTATGTGTTATCTGTAGTATGCTGATTTCACAAAAATAAATAATTCATCAATTGAACCGTTATAGTATGATCGAGCATTTCAACAGACACTTCAATTGGAGAATGACATGAGATTTTATAGGCCAAGCAGCTTTTCAGAATACTAGGCAAAAACTGGATCCCATTAAGCATGAAGATGCCTCAAAAAATGTATGCTTCGAGATGTAAAAATGTCCTAAAGATATTTTCTGTTACCAATAATATCCTCATAATATCTTTGAAAGACATCTATGAGATATTGAAAGATAAAAATATTCTCTTTATGTGAATGTAACTTTTTCAAAATTTTGTCTGTTGAAAAATAAGAGATAAGATTTCTATCCTTTATATATGTTTATTGAAAAACTCCATATACGATGGAATTTATTACGTACATCAAAATATATGTCTCTCTCTCTTACCCTGTGGTGTTATTCTTCAATTCAGGAACTCAAATATGTATTTGAAAATATGTCGCCTAACTACGAAGGACAACCCTCAATAGTTAAAACTTACGCGAGATGCAGAATTAACAAGGTTTTACCTTTAAACGTGTGATTCCTAGCGTGGGTTGTACTCTAGGCGGGAAAAATCGATCGTCCGGCCTGTGGACTTGAACAACCGATTCATCCAATTCACCGATTCAACAAAGATAAAATTCTACATATATCACTCTTCAACCTGTTTCATTTGATAAACTCCCACAAAAGAAATCGAGGAGGATTATTCTAGTCCATGCAAGTAGAATTCTGAATATAATTTTGAACACGAAAGATTTGTTCATCACCTATCGTCCTATTTATTGTTTGTTACGAAAATATGAATAACGAGGGGGTGTAATCAAGGTAGGGTGTACTGTTCATGCAGCTGTGAATGATACTAACCAGACACATCTTATTTTCGTTGTGGCTTATTTGCATATATCCCACACGAATTGTAATAAACCATATAAAGGCCAGGGTATCGGAAAAACTCGGCACTCGCGTTCAAGAGTTTGATAGCGAAATAACAATAGTTTTGTGATAACCATCCAGGTAAGTGAAATTGTCGTTATAGAAAGCTATCAGAAAACTTTTTATATTCTTCAGTGTTTTGGAGATCTTCCAAATTCATGTTTCATTTTAGTTCAGATCCTTGCAATTTTTACCAGAATCAGTCCTCCAAAACCACACAGTCCACACAGTCCACACAAAAATGACTTCTATTGCTCTCATGAATTAGTGGCCCTCTGCGTCAAATTCATACAGCCCAGGAAACTAGTTCAAGTTTACTTTCAACGTTAGTGTCACTAGTTCAGTGAATAAGATAAAGGATTTGGCAGGAGTATATAATTCTGTTAATTTCAGTAATTCGCATACAAAAGTATCGGTAGTTTTTCTTAAAAATTCGAAAGTTCAAAAAATCTTTGATATCCTGAGAATAATTCGAATATATTATTCTTGGATTGTGGATCTCAATGAGTTCTTTGAATCAATATTCAAAGAGATATTTGAAAAAAATTAGATTTTGATTTTTTTTTCAACTTGATCTGCATGAAACAGTGTCACATTATTGATATCCATTCACAGAAAAAAATGTATACAGTTTCAATGGAACTATTATCCAGTCTATATTCTATCATACTATCCATTCATTAGTAACTAAAATTTGTTTTAAATCAAAAAACCTGTGTTTCGAGACTTATCAAAGCACTGAGAACTATTCAACTTCCACATCGAACTGTCATGCTTCAGACTAGTACCACTTTAGCAAGCTCAAAATTGAAATTTTAAACATCATTCACAAACAATATTAGCTCTTCGTGTTCTCTTATTGCTCATTGCTAAGGTAATAGTATAATAACTGATAACGCATTTGTTTTTCTAGATGCACGCAAGATTAGTATACATCTTCATACTGATAAACATTCTCAACGCTCTTGCAGTTCCTTACTGGAGTAACATATTATCAAAACGAAGAAAATATTGTGGCAGTGACGTAACTTCAGCACTTAGAATAATATGCGAAGGAAATCACTATGGAACAACAATGAAACGATCAGGTACGTTATTTATGCGTAAATTATTCGCCCAATGAAGCTTCACAGGCTTGATAACATGGATCCACTCGAATAATATCCCCTAAATATTTTCTCGGAATTGCACTGGATCTCAACAGACTTCCGACATGTAACCTTGGATGCGAAGCTAAAAGTGTAGAGGGTCAGTGGCGGGGGAGTCACCGTCACTCTCTTAAGGGTGATTGACAGGCCCCCGGTGCAGACCACACGGCACTCACCCAGTAAAGTTATCGGTCAACTACCCAATCCCGCATCTGCGGGAAACATGCGTTAGCCGATCTCAAACTAGATGTGTGAGCAAAAGCCCTCGACGGTTACTCATCCAACGTTGGAAAGGTAGCTTTCCTAACATGAGTGCCCCTCGGGGTAACGTAAGGGTATATGATGCAGACCACACGGCGTACACTCAATAGTTGTGGGCGAACCGCCCGCACCTACACTGGCAATGGGCGCGACGTCTTCGACATAAGATGTGTGGTAGAGGGTGCTCGAAAGAGTCCTCGACGGTTACTCATCAATCATTGGAAAGGAAACTTTCCTAACATGAGTTCTAGTGGGGAGATGAAGTGCCCGCTGGCGACTGGAGGCTAGTGAGCCTCATCTTCAACTGGAGTTGGCCTTTTAGGGGCAGCGGAACAACTAGCGGGTGAAGGGATGTATCCGTGATCCTCGCCTGCTTCTGTATAGATCCAGAGTTCGAGGTGTCGGGGCTTGCAGTCCATCCAATGGGAAGTTAGTACCCGTGTCTAGCCTTGGAGAGCACCAAGGCAGACGTTCGAGGTGTCGGGCCCGGATGGCCGGAGCCACTACTATCCGAGCTTAGGATCTCGACTTGCCACTCCCGTGACGATATTCCCACTCGATTTGGCAGGTTAGCGGGGGCAGGTGTGCGACACGAGCACTCTCTGATAGTCCTGTCACTAGGTTAGCCACACCCAGTAGATGTAAGGAGGATAGTCCAGGTTCAGTGAGCGGGAGAAAGCCCTGCGAAATTTTGCTGGTATGGGTCGAGGGGTGGTACTCGCAAGGATTTCTCGAAAATCCACCTCACCACACCCGACTCCATCCAACGCCTAACCGGCCCCCCAGGTCCCTGGTGCGATCTCAACTATGACTCTCTTAAGGAGTAAAAACCAAAGAGCTTTCTTCCCAAAAACTCACATATCCTGAAAATATACACCTTCAATTCAAATAAGATTCATATGGCTGGGATTAAATCAAATACGTATATTCACCAGTGGAAATATTTCAGCAATGAGGGAAATTTCATCCCACACATATCTCTCCAATTTTTGTATCAGTAGGTATTTCCAATGCAAATCACAGTTTGAATATTGGACTATGTTGATAGCATTTAACTCAAGAATGAATGAACTATTTCACAATGAGTAATGAACTTATACGTTGAATAATGAACTATAGTGATATTATTTGACTCGTGAAAATATTTTTTTTATTTTACAGACTTGCTTGCATTCTATAACAGGTTGAAAAACCATTTGGATTCTGAAGAATTACAATTCCTCCCCAGTTCAGAAGATCTAGCCGAGTCTTTGGTTCCAGCCAAATCACGAGAAGGAATAACAGAAGAATGTTGTACCAAGTCTTGCTCAATAAATGAATTAAGAGCTTACTGTGCAGCATGAAGCGACTAGTACTCGAAAATCTTCTCATATAATCTTACAACGAATTTATGTAAGCTTAACTGATATTTTTTGATATTTCATTGTAGAAACCACGGTGTTTAATAAACGGAAAAAGGTTTTCAATTGCGTTGTGATTAGAAATAGTCTTTCTTTCTTCTTGATTTCAAATTTCTTATCTCAGAAACAAATGAATGGCACCGTATACAATGATTTCGTTGTCACCTGGTATAGAAAAAACACTAGCACTTTTAGATATATTCCTGATAGCCACGATCCTTGTATACAACAAAAAATTGCGGCACTACATTTTTTTGTCCATAGGCTGGTCACGGTTTCTTGAGCAAAGAAAGGTACGACATCGAGAAAAAATGATCAAGAATATTGCTGAGAATAACGGATATCCCTCAAACTCGGTCTATAAGTTATTAGAAAAACTAAAATTAAGAACGTTTCTTCGTAAATCCTTGACTATTCAGACAGATGCTTACTCAAAGTTTATAGTTCTTCCATTTGAATCAAAATATACCAATGGTTTGGTCCGAATTTTTGAAAAAAGTGTTCATATACTATAACAAGTGTTGGATAACATGAAAGGCAGGGTGGCAGAAAAGTCTTAGATTCATGAAGCTGTGTGGATTGCGGCAAAAAGTATATAGATCAAACAAAGAGAAATACGAGTATAATAACGATTTGTGGAAAGGAATATGATAACAGACTTTTAGACACCTTTGAAAATTGATAAATGGAAAAACGTGGAATGGGATCCGTGAACAGAGCTAAAGGTTCCATTCCAATCAGTGCGGTGTTCACGCTCTGTCGTAATAATTGAAAATAGAAACCAATTTAATACTGGGTACATAACAGGTAGCCAGTAACATTTAAATCAGTAATAAGATTTCATTACACATGAACATAATACTAGGAATTCAGTCCTAGAACCTCATTTGATAATGACTATGCAATTTTTACAATATATATCTTTATCGTATCTCTTCATCAGTAGTAATCACTACTGATGAAACGCGTCACATTTGTAAAAATTGCATGACTATTATCGTGGATAGATTCGTGGAGAGACAATGTTTTGCCTGAGGTTCCAATTCATCAAATTTGGTAGTGCTTATAGCAAACAGTGAATGAATGAGTATCGTAGATGAAGAGAAAGACAGAGAAGAAAGGAGAGAACAAAAATGTTGTATATTTTTTTTAGTTCACTGAATATTCAGTAGGTGATTTCAGATTATATGATGACTGGCCCAGTTTATTCCTAAAGTAAATGAACTTCTACAGTCTCACTCTCTTATTAATCACTCTCTGATTAATCACCGGTGTGATATATTGTTGAAGGTTTATTGCTTACTTCTTATATTTATTTATTGGGATGTCTAGGAACCAAAACGGATCTAAGCTAAAGAGGAAGAGATGCTTGCCAGAGATATAAATGGCAACAGTTTCAAAAACGATGGGCATCATCAGTATTTGGCAGGCGGAACTCGATTAAAGGGGAACTGTAAAAAAACAAAAAAATGATGAAAACCAGTGCGTAAAAGCAAGTGAAAATTACTTGCAAAGTTTTTATGTCGGCGTTGGTGGTGTGACCAACCGATAACTGCGATAGCAGAAATTTGAGGAGATACCCTGGAATGCCAGCCGAAAACGAATCCACATGGTTAATGCAGTGAAGCAAACCGTGGCTTAATGCTACGACCTGCCCTATTGGATTAGGTTGGATTGTTCTGGAGTAGTAGAATGCTGTTGATTCTCAGATAGATCAAAAACCCATCCCGGTCCTGGAGCAGGCGTATACAGTCGCAGATATAAACCTACCTAGGGACATATGAGAACGTATTTGGGATAGAAATCTCCGCAATTGATTCAGTGTGAAGAGACTGGTGGACACCAACCTCGTACAGAAATCGATAAAACTTTTCTCGGAGAGTCAAGCAGCTCTAAAAGTACTTTGCTTTCAATGAGCAACGTCCAATTTGGACGTTGAGAGCCCAAAACACTCTCCTCAGTGGGAAGACTCAACAAATTATCTCCAGTCTAGATTTCTGGCCACACTGGTCTAACAGGTAATGGAACTGCGATTTCCTTGGAGATAAGGCGTGTTTCATCGAACCTGAACATCGTTTTCAATTTTTCCAAACGTTAAGACTTTTAGCAGTGATTGTAGGCATGCTAGAAAACGTAGCTCATTTATGTAGTCTGATAACTATTTGATAACTTACTTCTAAGGGTGTAACAATGCCTTGGAATGGGCCAATACAGTGTTATTGAATGCGTTATTTGTGGTGGTCATGCCCTCCACGACATCAACATTCAATACTGAAATGGAAGGTAGAACTGGAACCTCTGGCGTAGAGTAAATGAAGCAAGTACTGTTCGTCAATACCAAAATTGGAACATTCACTAAGACATTCATAATGACAACTCCTCGTTGTTTTCAGTTTCATAAGTGCCTAAACATTCGGGAATCTGTTGTTAGGAGTTGATACAAAATCCTCTACGTTAAAATGTTTGTGTCCAAAATCGCAAATATATTGTCTCTAGATCGGATCGAAGTTCGTGGAAAGTGATTTAACTCTTCTTTTGCTTCCAATTCGAATATGCTCATGAACATATTAGCTAAAGAAGGAAACAGTGGATGCCTTCGTGTTGTCTATAGAAACACTTCTGTTCCTGGCAGATTTTTGTTAGTTATATGTAGTCTTCGATTACTTTTCCACTTGGATCATTGACCCCTGAAAGTTTCCTCAGATATTCAATGTTTTTTGGTGTAGAGACACTTGGAAACATCAAAGGTACATCAAATGATATCAAAATCTCTTCATCTCGCAACTTTACATCTTCAGTTGCCAGATTTGTACATTTTGGAAGACAGTATATTTTAGAAACTTGTAGATTCCCGTTCAAAATCGGTGCTTTCAACTTTTGACACATATTGAGTGTTCTGAAACCATTTTATGACATGGATTTCTTAGTAATTTATTATTAGGACCAATCAATAAATTATCAATTATCTGATAACAATCTGACTTGTTTAATAACATAACCTCATTGACTTTGTATGTTCTCAGATAGAAAACATATTTCCCTTCTAATCATTTGATGCATCTTTCCTACTTCCTTTCTCCACCCGAGACTATTGATGTGTATCTGAAGGTGAAAATGTACCCTGTTAGATATGAATAGAGACCAGTTCTAGAGTAAGTAATCAGTTTTCTTTATCTCCTAAAGACGCCAACTTGGTTGGTGAATCGCGCGGCGAAAATAGTGCTGCAGTTCTGGTGTTTTGAAATAATGTTTGTTTTGAACTTTCAATTGTTTTCACATGTGTATTGTAATATATGCACGCACATCATCTCACGTGGATGATGACCTTCCATTATAGAAAAATATCTTTCTTTTTCTTCATTTGACAAGCAGGCATTTCAATATGATCTTTGAAGCTCTGACTTCAACTGTATTTACACTTTAGAAAGCATAGATGAAAAGGTTGAGAAGTTCACTTCCATTTTATTAAATAAGTTCAACCGGCACGCACCTCTGAAATCTGTACGAATTACTAAAAAAAGCACCGTGGTTGACAGATAATAATAATAATAAACTTTATTTGATCAATATACTAAATTCAAAATGGAATCAATATCAATATAATAAGTTAATTGTCAAATAAAGAGGGTGAATCCCCATAAGATACAACCTTATTGTACATATGGGCGTGAGGGGTTTATTATATTCGTTAATCGAGTTGCTTTATTTGATAAGAAAATACATAGCAATATAAAAATAGTTTTCATACGTAATTGAAAATTTCGCTGATCAAATTGTAGAGTCAAATAAAAATTATATATAGATTCTGGTGTCAGTGTGTTCAACCAATAAATATCTGAAACCCATAAAAACTTCTACAGTTGCGCATGAGTACAGTTACGCAGAATTGAAAAATGAACTTTTATTTAACACTTTTGTCTGATCGTGTGTAACGCGTTTCGTAATGACGATTTTTTTCTTTGTTTGTTTGTAGTTTCTCTTCAGCCTTCTTAATATTCTTTCCTTGGTTGAATGGGTTTAGCGGATTAGTATTAGAACTGTCGTTTTTATCGTCTTCTACTTGTGGAAGGAGCACTTTGCGACTTTGTTGGAGATGGTGGAGAAGATAGATCAGGTTCCTCTTGATTAGTGAGATCTTCAGCAATATATTCTATTCCATCCTTAAAGTGATGTACAAGAATTTTTCTGTTCTCCGAATCTTTGGGTATAAGATCCTCACTTATGAATATTCCGGCATTATTAAGTTTCCAGCAATTCCTTATAATTTCTTTTCTTTTCAATTGTGAATGGAACGCCACCAAAATTGGCCTGGATTTACTTCGTGATTTCCCAAGTCTATAAGCGTAAGTTATATCAAAAGTTTGTAATTTTATTTCAAGAATATCTTCAATTGTTTCTTTAATTACTTTTACAAGGTCTTCGTTTCCATCGGCGATCTCTTTTATACCGTAGAAAATCAAATTGTAGCTTCTCAATTTCCTTTCAATATTTTCCTGCTTGGAGTTCAGGCTTCGCAATAATAAGAATAACCTTTGGAAGGAACTTTCTGATTTGGGGCTCTATAGCAGAAAGTCTGTAAATTCAATTCCCAACCACCTCAGAAAAGCTCCCGAAATTACCGAGTTTTTTTGTAACATTAGTTAAACTTCTGAATTACCCGACGATGAACTTATGTCGTTTTTTACGCATAATAAAATGTATGCGAACTCGAATTTTTCTCTCTGTGAAACAAGAGACCAAGAGGTTTTCGAAGTAATGCTCTCAGTGAAATCGAACGCTGTGGGTTCTGACGGCTTTGTTAAAAATGCATTTGCATTCTTGTCCTCATATATTACCACATATTAGATATATCTTCAATAAGTGTATAAATAACAATGATTTTCCCAAATCATGGAAAAAATCCTAGGTAATTCCTCTAGCCAAAGTCAACAATCCCCAAAGTTTTAATGACCTTCGGCCAATCAGTATATTGTGTGCCATTTCTAATTTATTTGAAAAAATCATTAATAAAAAAATTCGCAATTATCTCAAGAAACGAAACGTTCTACCAGCGTCTCAATCGGGTTTCAGACCCAATCATAGCTGCACGACTGCCCTACTGAAAGTAGTTGATGACATTTATACATCAATAGATGATAATGAATTAACACTTCTTGTTTCAATAGATTATTCCAAACATTCGACATAATAAGTCACCGCCTTCTGATTGTTCTGTTGAACTATATAGGTTTCTCATAATTGTCTTCAACACTGATCAATAACTATTCGAATGGAAGGTATCAATACGTAACTTTGGATAAAACTATGTCAAGTTCCTTGAATATATCTGCAGGTTAACCTCAAGGTTCAATTCTTGGTCCTACGCTTTTCGTTATCTACATATCCAAATTTCCAAAGTGTCTCCATCACACCAAAATGCATAGCTACGCTGATAACACCCGGATTTATAAACGATTTTCGGAAACTTCTGTAGCACTTGCTTGAGAGCAAATAAATGCAGATTCAAAATCGTTCCTCAAAGAAGTACTGCCGGACGATCAATCATTCCTAAAAAAGTAATTATGCTATTTGGTCGAAGAGCAATGTGGAAAAGATGTGAGAGAAATATCGATATCGTTCTGGACGAGCATCAGTGACAGAATCTACTAAAAATCTTGGTCTCATGATTGACCAATTTCTTGAGTTCAACTATCATGTCTCCCAAATTATAAAACGTGGCTATAGTAATTTGAAATCGATATACTCAAATAGGAAGTCATTGAATCAAAAATCGAAGAAGATATTATGCGATGCCCTAGTTCTCTCCCACGCCAACTATACATATATAGTATATGGCCCAGCGTTTATCTGATAAAAAGAGAATATAGACTCTACAGAACGCATGCCTCAGACCCATTACAGGAACTAGGAGTGGACAACACATGTCTCATCATTTGGAGAGACTGGGATTTATTTCACGCTTTTATCACCTAACATAAGATTATAACAACAAAGGACCCAGTTATCTTCACGACAAAATAAGATATAGAACAAACATCCATAAATTGAATCCGAAATTCAAAAATCAACTAACTACCTCCGCCCCCGCCCCCCCACAGAACCACTTTATTTCGTGGATCCTTCTCTTATAATGTGGTCTGGCTTTATAATCGAATTCCCAATTCACTAAAATCACTCTCCGCCCTAGATTATAGAATTAAACTTAATATTCACTTACTGGAACACACATTGCCTCAACTCCTCTGTTAATAATATAATTTGGGTGTAAATGAGAATTTCATACAGTTTAATTTTCATAATTTTCAATTGTTGTTAGTACTAACAGAAATGATTCTGGTGCATTTGGCACTAAATATATCTAGGATTTACGTATGTTGTGCATGTACAATATTTTTTATATATTTTTTTTCTCTAGGTTCAATAGAAGAGCAACTTCTGTGTCATTCTGTCATTCGTGACAGGATCAGAAATAGAATTCTGCCTTTCGATAGGTACATGGGTGGATTGTATATATTGTATTCCATACATTGTACTTCTTTTTACCACCTATCAATAAAAACAATTATTATTATTATTATTTCACCGTAGTGTGCGCTGGTCAGGCCCTATCCCCCAAAGCCCCGATACATTCAGAAGGGCGCGCCAGCATTATTAACTAATGACCACTCCCCACACCGTGGGGTAAGTGCCTTAGGGCGGCAAGCCGGTATGATTTAAAGATTCGAGAGTAGAGAAGACATCATTCCACCAAGGACTCCACCAAGGACTCCATCTTGACAGAGTGATCTGGATAGAGTCTGCGGAGTTCTAAGAGAAAATCTCGATATTTTATCCGCTTTTTCTCCTATTTTCCGAAGATATTCGTCTCGCCAGTAGCTGAAAACTCCACGACAAATATAGTTTTGCTCTGGTGGTCGAGAAGGACTACATCAGGCTTATTAGCTTATATGAGCCTGAGGGTGGGGAACGAATGGTTCCAATAAATTCGGCACTTCTCATTCCTCACAACGGATTCAATATCCCCCGGAGCGTAGGACAAAACCGGTGTCTCGTCAATACCGTGTGTGTAGATGGTAATATAGCACTCTTAGGGCCGCGTTATGTCGATGAATATAGACCGAGACCGCATATGCTGGACATGCTGATAGCAAGTGCATTAGGGTTTCGGGCGCCTCGTGGCAGGCCCTGCACCTTGTGTCAGGAACCTCTATACCCATCACGCGACTGCGGCAGACTAAGGTGTTGAAGACACCATCCTGGCAATCCATGATGAACCCCTCAGTTTCCAATTCAGCTCACTCGACCTGAGAAAAGCGAAAGTCAGGCGCTTTGATAAGCCAAGGTCTTCAATGTTATTGAAGAAGACCCAATGCATTGGCTTATCCTTGTGTTTCCGCAGAAGTGAGGTGATATCTGCGGCTTTTATATGGGCTTTCTGCTAAACGAGTTCCAACTCGGTGAGAGTTGTGGTCACCTCGTTCAGTGTCGAAAACTAAACCGATTTCATCAGCTGCTCGGGCTCCACTTCCTGCTCTCTCATGGTCACGGACCATGCAGAGAAGGAGATCTAAACTCCTGACGACTTTACAGGCTGTATCCAGTACCATTCTGTCATGTAGACACTCCAAACTCAAAAGTCCATGGCCTCCCTGGTGTCGGGGGAAGTACAACCGTGCAACGGACAATTTGGGATACAAACTCCTATAGAGATGAATCATTTTTCGGGTCTTTACGTCGAGTTGATACAGCTCCTCCCGAGTCCACTTCACTACTCCAAACGAGTAGAGTAAGATTGCAACGGCAAGCATATTTGTTGGAGCAACTTTGTTCTTCTCCGACAGTTCCGATGACCAGATCTGTCGAAGTTTGTGCTGATACTTGCCGCGGAGAGAGTTCATCACTGCAGTTACCTCTTGTGAGAGACGTTGTTCCACCCCGAGGTAAGTATACGTCTCTCCGGCATCCAGATGGTGTAGAATGCTTCCATCTACGAGCTGCACATCCTCTCCGTAGTTCCGCATCGTTCTCTTTTGAGATGGACCATTGCACATTTGTCTATCCCGAATTTCATACCGATAGCATGCGTGTACTCTTCCACCACCCTCAAGGACTGATGCAGATCCTTCTCTCCAGAGGCATGAAGTTTAAGATCATCCATATAAAACAGATGGGTAACATTGTACCTCCGGTTTCCGGGGGTGCCACAGTTATATCCTCGAGTATTTTTGAGCGCAACGGATAATGGCAATAGTGAAATGCAGAAGAGAAGGGGACTGAGGAAATCACCCTGAAATATACCCCTTCTGAAAGTGACCCACCCTGTTTGGACTCTTGCTTGACCAGATGTTATGGTGAAGCGAGTTCGCCAAAGTGGTATCAGTTGTTCAATGCATCTCACTATGTTGTCGGGTACCGCAAGGCATCTGAGCAAATGCAAGATGAGATCATGCGAAATTGTATCAAATGCCTTACGGTAATCGATCCAGGCCATAGAGAGGTTACGCTTATATTGTATCGAGTCCAGCGTTATTATTATTATCTCGCCACGTCCGAACCTCCAAGCACCTCTTTTATAACTTTAAAACTATTTGTTATCACAACTTGACGCAAATCGTAAGTCACTCTGTGTGGAATTATGAATCAAATGACACATCAATCATATTTGTGAACTAGACTAGACCAACTAACTGTTCGTGTAAAAGATTCGTCGAAGGTATTGGTTTCGTTCATATTTGCATGAAAATTGTGGAATAGTGGAATAGGAAGAAAGAAATAGTCCAATAGTCCAATTAAAAACATTTTTAGGTTTATTAAACACCATAGTTTTGACAGTAAAATATCAAAAAATCTCAACCAATCTTACATACATTTTTTGTAAGATTATATGAGAAGAGTTTTGAATATCAGTCGCTTCATGCTGCGCAGTAAGTTCTTAGTTCATTCAGTGAGCAAGACTTGATACAACATTCTTCTATTATTCCTCTTCTTGATTTGACTGGAACCATAGACTCAGCTAGATCTCGGGAAATGAAGGGAAATTTTGATTCTCCAGAATCCAAATCGTTTTCCAACTTGTTATCGAAATCAAGCCAGTCTGTAAAATGAGAAAAAAATATTTTCACGAGTCAAATAATATCGGTATAGTGTAGTGCATTACTCAACGTATAAGTTCATTAGATAGATACATACATTTATTTCAACAAAGTATTTTACAATCATTCACAGGAGTGGCAGAATATTTTTGTCTGAGAAATACGTTGAAAGGAAAGTTGTAAAAAATATCAAATATATGTACATATAAATCTAAAAATGAAACATTCAAAATGAATAGCTTCAAGTTTCAAACACGATTACGAACATTTTAAAATGTGCGTCATATTTCGCATGCTTATTGAAAGTGGAGCTCTTTGAGAGCTTGTCTCAAAACAGTCATGTATCTGGGAAAAACCTACAAAGAATATTGGAACTTTATGAAAACACTTTTCTCACATACCAGAACTCAGAACAGTTTCTTGACGCACGTTTCGATAATCAAGTTAGCATCATCGGGCAATAAGTAAAACAGATTTATTTATTTCCTGATGATGCTAACTTGGTTATTGAAACACGTACCTATCAAGAGGCAGTGTTCTAGTTCTGACAACTGCGAAAGGTGTCTGGATTCATTTCACATCAGAGATCTCTTCCTATCTGGAATATGAAAGAAAAACACCCATCAATACTAGGTTCACCTGCCACTTACCACATGGAAACCTTAAAATTTGAAAACACCCTCACTTCATATGCATTTGTGGTTAAGCATAGTACAACTACCTACAGCAAGTTAAAACAGCTATGTTTGGTTTTGTATCAAGAAAGCTTTGTTTCAAGCTTTTGTTTGCAGTGAAAGCTGCAAAGAGGGACACAGAGTGATTTTCAATCTGACCGTCGAACCCAAAGCTTCAGTTTGCATTAGAAATTCGATGAAACCATGGTTTTTTTGGAGGTTTGAAATTGAGTCTGAAGTGTACTTGAACATATCACATATCACATTTTGTCACATGAGTATCAGAAAAATGTTTGTGGAAGTACTGTTTTTTGCAATTCTGAAACAATATTTGTGGGATATTATTCAAGTGGATCCATGTTATTGAGCCTGTGAGACTTCTTTGAGCGAATAAGTTAACGAATGAATAACGTACCTGCTCGTTTCATTGTTTTTCCATAGTAATTTCCTTCGCATATTATACTTAGTGTAGAAGTTAGGTGGCTGCCACAATATTTTGTTCGTTTCGATAATATATTACTCCAATAAGGAACTGCAAAAGCATTGAGAATGTTTATCAGTATGAAGATGTATACTAATCTAGCGTGCATCTGGAAAACAAATGAGTTTTCAGTTATTATACTACGACCTTTGGAATAAGTAATAAGAGGACACGGAGAACATCTGATGTTGGTACTAGTCTGGAGCATGGCAGTTCGATATGGAAGTTGAAAACTTCTCAGTGATTTGATAAGTCTCGAAACATATTTCTTTGGTTTGAACCGAATGTTAGTTACTAATGAATGAACGGTTTGATAGAATATAGACTGGATAACAGTTTTATTGAAACTGTGTCTACTGATTCATGCTGATTAGGTTGAAAAAAATCAGATTCTTTTTTTTCTCAAAAATCTCCTTAAATATCGATTTTGAAGAAAACATTGAGATCATCCATTCCAAAAACATATTCAAATTAAAAGGGTTATATTTTCACGAGTGATTAATGTTTGGGAAAGAAAGTTTTTGGCGTTCTACTACTCCACCTTGATACAAAAAATGCGGGAGTCTTCCGAAGAAAGGAAGAAAGCAATCAATTTCAAGAGTAGTAGAAAGCCAAAAACTTTACCAAAAAAAACATAATCAATTTATTCGGTATTTTCTGTATAACCAATTTTTTTCGCTATTTCAGTACGATATCTTATTTTTTCGAAAGATGTCTTATTTTTTGTGGTGTATGAATTTGATGCATAAAAATATATTTTGAAGATTTTTTCTGGCCCCTGAACATTTTTTTTCAAAGAAATCACAGTTCGATTTTACAAAAACACGTCTTCTATAATTCTCAATATGAAAGAAAAGATTAAAAAAGCCATTTGAAAAGAAGTCGATTAGTTTAAAGTAATTTGAAAACTCCTTCAAAGGAAGAAGAGAAGTTATTTCTGTATCAAGTGCAGATTTGTGGAACTCTTTGTTAGGGAAGATTTTGATGACGTCCTTATAAAAACTTCAAATTTTGTTCCATCTCCATTTTAACTCCAGAGTTTTCGACGACATTGAAAATTATGTCTATTTGAGATATCCGAACAGTAAAAATACTTAAAAATTCTGGATTTTGGAAAAAATTGGCGAGATTTGAATTTAAAATAAAACATAAATTTGGCAGATCTCCAAAATACTGAAAAATATGGAAAGTTTTCTAATAGCTTTCTATACGGACAATTTTACCTACCTGGATGGTTATGGCAATACTATAGACACTATTGTTATTTTGATATCAAACTCTCGAACGCGAGTGCCAAATTTTTCCGATGCCCTGGGTTTTATATAATTTATTACAATTCGTGTGGGACATATGCAAATAAGACATAATGAAAACAAGATGTGTTTGGTTAGTATCATTCACAGCTGAATGAACAATACACCCTACCTTGATTACACCCCCTCATTATTCATATTTTCGTAACAGACAGGAAATAGTATAATAAGTGATAAACAAATCTTTTGTGTTCAAAATTATATTTAGAACTCTACTCGCGTGTACTAGACTAATCCTCTTCTATTTCCTGTGTGAGAATTGATAAAAAAATAGGTTGAAGGGTAACAAAACTAGAATTTCATATCAAGCTTTCACTGTCTATCGTCCAACCCGTGTTAGGAATCACGCGTTAAAAGGTACGATGAGACTTCGAACGAAATTTTCACCGGTGACCATTTTTTTAAGGTCTGCAAACAGCCAGTAGTCGATGGGTGTCAAATCTGGCTAATACGTTGGATGTGGGAGCAATTCGAATGTAAATTCATGAAGTTTTGCCATTGTTTTAATTGACTCGTGACAAGGTTCGTTGTCTTGATAAAGCAGTTTTTTTCTTTGCCATATGCGTTCGTTTCCCTTCTTGAATTAGTGGATGAATATTACACCACGCACTTCCCAAAATACCAAGGTCTTTACTTTTCCAGCCAATTGTTGTGCTTTCGGGCGGTTTGGACGGTTCACCAGTTATTCTCCACTCAGATCACGATCGTTTTGATTCCGAAGTAAAGTGATCAATCTATGTTTCATCCAATGTCACATATCCACGCAAAAATTCTGGTTTGTTATATTTAAACACGGCCAAATACTGCTCAGAATCATCAAGACATTCTTGTTTTTAGTCAACAGTGAGTTCGCGCGGCACTCACTTTAAACAGATCTTTTCCATAGTCAAATGCTCGTGCAATTATAGTCAGTTTGTTGATGCTCTCTACGGGAAGCTTCGAAGTACGATGGGGCAGGAGTGCGGGTTATTACTATTATTACTTTAGTCTAGAGATTTTTCAATGAAAAAAAGTTAAGAAAAAATACAAAATAGAGCACTTCTAAAACTTCGAAGTTTCAGGATATTTCTCGTAATGGATAACTAGAAGATAAGGATCAGACAGATGGACTTATTTGTATATTTCCACATCACTAATTGCATTGCAATTGTGACAATCAAGATGGACGTAGACTTCATAACAATTGAACCAGGTAATGTAATGGTGATACAATCTGTTCCAAATTCACATTAAACGAGGCATACTAATTGCACTGGCAGATATACAGTGCGGCACTATGAAGTTACCTCACTAATAATATGAAGATGAGTATGTAGTTTTCGTATGTTCAACGTTTCGGCGTCTGCTTTGAAGCCATTTTCAAGACCAATCAACAGTAAGGTTACATGACTCGACGTGTTCTCTTAAAAAATTTCAATACTGAAGAAAAGTCAAGTCATTTTTTGAGGAGTGAATCAGATTTTAGCCTCCCAAACGTTTGGATGAGTATCTGTATAATTTCTCATCCTTTTTTGATAAGAAACTAAATACAACAGAAAAATGCTTTGAATTGACACGGTAACTTATCGAGCTGAAGTGAAAAATTTGCCCGTTTTACATCTGTAAATAAAAAATACACAAAAAAGTCGATATGAAACTCGAAATTTTCAATTTTGTTATAACAGTTTATGTAATCTATGATTACATGATACATGATTTTCCATGAATAAACAGTTTCTTGACTTTTTTTTTAAATCTCGAGACTAAAGTAATAATAGATATAATATATTCTCAGCAGAAAACTTGAGAATTTCTGACCAAACGGATTTACAAAAACTGTTAGATGTTCAGCGTGGCTCACAACTGAGTGCTGTTTCTTCCTTACCATGAGTTGAAAACTCTGATCAGAAAGGGGATTTGTGCAAGATACTTTTTTCCACGAATAAATAAGGGTTAAGTCAATCTGTGAGAAAAGTTTTTCGAACCAACGTGGGCTCTTCTAACGTCATACGGAGTGTAACCAATATGACTATGCTGTATTATTTTATTAATTTGTCAGCTGCTGTCACCAGACGCGGATTCCTCCATATCAAATTTTGGATGTTGAGGCAATTCCGTATGACGCTTGTTCGGCCTCTTACACGATGAGGAGATTTTTAGTTGCAGTTATGAATGATCTTAAGAATTCACAGATTACTGTGGTAGGTTCTGAAATAAAAGCCAGCTTCAAATCTAACAGAAAAATGACCTAAACAAATTTTATGCCGTTGCCATAATTCCTACCGTATACGAGAGTGACTATATGTAATACGTAGATTGACCGGCACTTTCGGACCGACCTTCTCCCATTTTCAAATGTTAACTCCACACATATTCGAATATAAAATCGTTTCTCATTGGGATCGCACATTGAAACGATACACTCCCGTTAAACTATCCTGTTTTTTCACATGACATATTTTGAGAAACCCTGTACACATTGAAGAATCACACGTTAAAACGATAGAGCCCCGTTAAACTGCCATGTTTCCTAAATGACGTATTTTGAAACACCCTGTACACATTGAAGAATCGCACATTAAAACGATAGAGCCCCGTTGAATCCACATGTTTTTTCTTAAGCGCTACACATACACCCTATAAACCCCGATGGCAGGCATGTTTTTTCTTTTACGTTGGCAGCCATGTTTTTTTCTTCAACGCTGCACTGAATGCCACGCCGCCATATTTTTTCTTCAATCCAATTTTTCAATCATTATTATACCATCATTTTTATAATTCAACCGCGTTGTTATCTCTCAACTGAATCTCTCCGATACTCATTCTATCCTTCTATGCATCGATTACGTCACAAAAAGTATCTTTCCCACTCACTAAGGTAAAGATGTGCCCTAGGGAATACGCCACAATCCCCGTATAGCTCATCTACCTCTGTATACTGATTTTTGGCTAATTCTTTCCCAATATTCAAGTAATAGTTATTACATATGTACATTCATATCACCGCCACCCTTCTTAAGTTTACCGGCTAATCCTGTCTCGATGCTGCCCAGCTCGTCGGGCTAATCTTACAGGTTATCCAAAAAAATATCGGAGCAAACTTCACTTCAATTGTAACGCTATATATAATACTCGGTTTCGGCGTACGAAAATTATATTTATTTTTCTCACTAAACTGCTCGATTCCAGCTCAAATTTAAACCCTTGTTGATCTCCTTACGAAATAATATATTTAAAATCGCGTCAACCACCCGGTTTCCGTATTAAATTCTTCGGAGCTCTTGACGCCGCTTTCCCGACGAAATTCTCTCGATTTGCCAAACTTATGATTAATTAGCCTAAAGCCCCGCCTTAGGGGCTATCTAATTTTCTTTCGTACTCAGCAGTCGGGACCACACACAGAAAAACCATATTTCGCTTAGTTGAAAGACCTTTAGATACATGCACAGTTCATTGTGCTCAGGCTTTCAGACCTAATGTCAACGTTCAAAACTTCAAAGTTACGTTTTAATCCGTTTTGTTACATTTTGAGAAACTTTCAACTTACAACTGATGCATCAAAACTGACAGTTGACGTATCATAATTGAGAGTTAACCCATCAAAACCGACGATTGGAGGGAATTTTAACACGTCTCTTGTCACTTTTGATACATCAATCATCACTTTTGAGGATAAATTTAGCTAATGTTACCAACCTCTAGACATAAAATGCTGCGCTTTATGTGCCACTTGTGTGCCACTGCAAAAGGTTATAGAAGTGGAATCTCTAGGTTGGGTGGCTATCTGTGGATTATAACTTTATTCTCGAAATCTTGACCATTCTCGATATCTCTTTTTCTCTCAGAAGTTTCAATTCAATAAAAACGTCGTAATAAAATATACGGCTTGGTAGTTTGGGATTATTTTTTCATAATGATTAATTAGCAGATAATGATCAGACCGATGGGCTAATTTATGTACTTTGACAGTAATGGCATTGATTTATCGATGAAAGAATCTGAACGAGTTATATGATGGTTGTTGTGGATAATTCACGTTTAACGAGGCATGTCAATATCACTGTCAGATATACAGTGGTGGTACTCAATTGTCATGGAACAGTTTGGACTTCACTCAATATCTTTCTGAAAAATCTTTTCAATCAGAGCCTGCTGGCATATTCATAAAAATTTTAGATCCTGAGTTGATATTATTTCGGTTACTGTACATATTATTGAAAAAAACCGAAACATGTCAAATTCAAACTATAATTTGACATTCTTCAACATAAAAATACCACCCCTACCTTCAACCCCTTCGAATGACTGGTCAAATGGGTTTGTAATATATCGTTTGAAAGGTCTCTTCATTCTCTATTCAAAAATGTTCTAGCTCGCAAGTTTATTGCAACAATTAAGATAAAATAAATAAATGTAATGTAAAAATAATGAAATGAGAATACGAAACAGAACTATGGATGTTAATGAAGTAGATGTTCAAAATGTTCACAGTGAACGTCTTGGCATCCTAATCTCAAATAAAACTGTCTTCTAACATTATTTAGCTTATCAGGCGTGACTGACCTAATCGCAAGCGTTATTGGTTCTTTTAAGTCATTCAAATCTGAAGTTTTAGTTTTTTACACATTGCTCTTTACTAATTCTCATAAAAAGAAATCTAATGATGAAAGATCAGGTGATCGCGCTGGTCATTCAATCGATTCTCGCCTCCCTATCCACCGATTGGGAAATGTTGTATCGAGGTATTGTCGGACAATAACTTGGTAATGGTGCTCCATCCTGCAGAAACCATACGTATTCACTGGAACTTGAAGGTTTCCTGGATCAAGATATAAATTTGCTAAACTTGGAATGACATCATTTGGAAGAAGTGCCAAATAAGTATCGCCATTCAAGTTGCCCTCAATGAAAAAGAGACCAATGATATGGTTTCCTACGATCCCTGCCCGAACATTAATCTTTTGAGAGTATTGCGTGTGTTCTTCTCTCATTCAGTGAGGATTTTCCGTTGACCAGTAGCGGCAATTTTGCCGATTATCATGACCGTTAAGAGACAAAGTACACTCATCAGAAAACATAACATCGTCTAATTGGATGATATTGTTAACCATTAAGTCCATCATTTGCTCACAAAAATAAGTTACTATTTCAAAGTCGTCTTCTATGAGCTCCTGAGTAGGTATCATTTTCGTTAATATAACCATTTGTCAGACTTGAAGTTAACGAACTTCAAACTTAAATTAAAATACTGACAACTAATGTTGTAACGTACAAAACAAGTTGACAAGGCGTTTTAAACTAACGTTGCCACGGAAATTGTTTAGTTTTTTAAAGAATACCATCTAAAAAGAACATTGATGTGGTTTTTGCTTACTTTTTTATTATCAAAACCTGAACATAAAATAAGTTTTGACTATATTGTAATAAGTTTTGGGGGTGTTTTATCGATTTTCGGTCGCCACATGATTTTAATTTATTTTATCTTAACTATTGCAATAAATTCGAATACGATAATATTTTTGAATAGAGAATGAAGAGACCTCTCAAACAATATATCACAAGCCTATACTTCCCATTCAAAAAATTGGGGGTTGTACCTGTCATTCGACGGGGGTTGAAGGTAAGGGTAGCATTTTTACGTTGAAGTCTGTCAAGTTATAACTTGAATTTGAGGTGTTTCGGGATTTTGTTGAAGTATGTACCGTAACCGAAATAATGAATGTTTTCCATTTGGCTTTTACACACTGTATGCGATATAAGCGCAAATTTACCACAATCATCTGAATAAGTCTGTTTTAAAATATGTGATACCACTTGTATTCAATGTGAATCGCTACTTTCGCACAGGTACCGCTCTTAGAACGCCTTAAGGATTTTCTGTAGTGCTTGTATTTTGTTCCTGAAAAAAAATTTATTCGTTTGAAAATGTCCTTATAGAAGGAAACTGCAGTAACGTTAGTTACAAATACAAGTGGTATACAAGGTTTCTTTTCTCGTTTTTGAAAAAGGCATTTGGTTCTGTTTTATCCAAAGTGCTCAATTTTGACAGTCTATTCTACAGAACGAATAATAGTCTAAGTAAATTTATCAAAAACAATAAAAACAAAAATTTGGTGTCGAATAGATGAGGAGTAGATATATAAGCTGACTTGTGGCTCTTGCCCAAAACTGTATATTGGCCTAGCAGGAAGAACCTTTTCCCAAAGAATTAAAGAGTATAGAAGTAGTTTTGTAAATAGAAAGACCAATTGCACATTTGCAAACCACCTTTCAACAGAAAAACATGAGTTCAATCATGAATACGATGTGTTACATTCAGAAGGGAAGAGTTTGACACTCAATCTTTTAGAATGTTTAGAAATCAATAGATTTAGGAATTTGGGTAATTTACTGAATGATCAATTAGTAACTCCCCGTTACTAAATATTTTTTCAAATACGGAAACTGGGACATAAGCTCAGGTAATTTAATTAATTACAAACTCAGGTAAAAATCAGGTACTTCAAATTGTAGAATGAGGTATATTTAGCATTGAATATTGTAACGAATCTGAAGCCGGCCCTGACCGATATCTCAGCCAGCGAATAAACACATGACATCACCGCAGTCCACAAACCGCCGATTGAGTTCTAGTTGAGTACCGAAACCACTAGAGAAATCTAGAACGATCGTTACCGATATATAAGGCCCGTATCTCGTCCAGAGAGGAAGTTGTTAGTTAGGGAAGCCACAGATTATGCTGTAGACGATCCCTCCCGATATAGAAGGCCCCGACACTCTGTCGAATGAGGCCCTCATGTCCCCCGTTAACGGATGAATAGCTTTCTCATCCATCCCACCCCAGCCAGGTAGGGGTATTCCGTGAAGGGCGAAACTGATGTCTGAGGACTTCATGCCGCCATACCCATTGCTCCTTCTCGAGACCAAAAATCAGACGAAAGGGTAAGGTAGCTGGACTCCAAGCCTAAATGACACAAAGATGACTTTCCGACCGACTGACTTTCCGACAGAGAGGAAGTTGAATTCAGAAAGCAAATCGAGCGGTTAAACAAGGAATTCGAATAGTGAAGATGAATTAAGCGTTAGTTGCTAAGTGTTGAATATAAATTAGTTTGTGTTAGTGAAATATTGTTAGAAATAAATTTGTTCAAGACATTTATTTCTTTAATTCGTTACAATATGTAGAATTAGTTAGTAAAGAACCGCCCGAAGAAGCCATTGTATGGCGAAACATGTGTTGCGTTTTTGTAAAACTCTTTAGTGAAAATCTCACAATAAAGTATTGTTTGAGTACGTTATTTTAACATGTGAAATTTCAAAAGTATTGAAATATTTTCAAGATGCATAATACAATCCTTCCTTATTTCCTAAGGTTTTGAGATCAAATGGGTATCAAATGAAAGGGTAACGTACACTACTATGAACCAGTAGACAAAAAAATAATATTATTAAGGTTCATGCACTAGTTTTAAATTTTGTTTACAAGTTATTTCGAATATTCGTCTGGTTTTTATCTAATATATTTAATTTTAACTGACTGTAAGACTTTCGATTATTTATCAACCCGCCACTGATATCATATCGTTGGAATGAAACCTACACCTATCAAAAATTATGTGCTAATGATGAATTGTTCATACAAAAATTATTAACTTCCATCATGAAAAGGTAATCCGAATTCTGATACCACGCAAGATGAATACAGTAATATTATTTTTGTTATTCTCAACTGTTCCCACATATTCGAGGGTAAGTTTTTATTACATCAAACCTTTTCAATTATATAGAATTCCGACTACTAATAATAATAATGATATCTTTGTTTGATAACATATATATTGTATGTAGGTGAGTATATGCAATTTGTTGCATTGTCTTTTGCATTTTTAGTGTCCTTTTTCATAAATTATCAATAAAATTTATATATATCAATAGATAGTGTTTTTATAATCTTTTAAAAATAAATATTCTTTTTTTCGCCAACATCATCCATAAAGGAAATATAACAATTTTTATGGAAAAGAAAAAGTGTGACTTTTAACCTCGGGCTGGGAATGGTTGTCACAGTATCTGGGGCAGGTAGTCACATAGGTAATTGAGGGGTATAAAAAACATATAAATGAATATTTTCATTGAAAGTGGAATAATATACGCAAATAATTATATTCAAGAAGAGAAAAAGTGTCTCATTCGTAGGAAAAAACATATTTGCTCCAAATAAAAAACCTTCCATCCTAGCGAAATTATATATAGTCAGTCTAAAATTCAGTGAATATTCGAATTCACAATTATGGCAAATGTAACGCTTTTTTCGAATATTCTTGGGAAACAAACCGAAATGAATACTTAGAGCCATATAGGTAAGTATGTATTATTGTCTATTTGTCGGTGAAGATTTGCCTATACCTTTGATAACCAATGTTTGTTGATGATTTTCTCTAAAACAAACAAAATTGTATGCAGCAGAAGCTCAAAATGCCCAAATATATGTGGTGTTAGTTGTCACATGTGACTACCAGCCCCTCGTCAAGTTGAGACAGCGAGCCCCAAAATATAACCCCCTAAATATAATATTTATTCATAAAAACGGACAGTGATATCATGAACCACAGATGTCTCATTAAAAATAAATTAAATAATATATATCTACAGAAAATTATAGTATATTTTTGGGAAAGAAAGTTTTTGGTTTTCTACTACTCCATCTTTATACAAAAAAGAGATGAGGGAATCTTCCAAAGAAAGGAAGGAAGTAATCAATTTGAAAATAAGTAACTCTATTCATGGATGTGTAGATCATGCAAAGAAGTAACTTTCAGACACAAACTGAAAGAAAGTCCTCCTAAAACAGCTACTTTCATATAAACATTGAATTACACGAAAGAAAAAATTATTTCGAAACAAATACTTCTATATGAACACTGAATTATACAGAAGATACTTTTCTCTACTCAGTTTGTATTTCAAACATTCGTTGTGGAATAAAAATCAGATATCATTCACATGAGTTCTACTTTAAATGAATGGCAACAAATTGCACTCACATGGAACACTGTCACCCTTACTGGTATACACCGATGTTTCGCCTTAACACACTCGCCCCAAGACTCTTCAGTACCAAATTGGATAACATTATAGAAAATACACACAATGCATTCATGGAACATTGCCATCCTCACCCATTAAGTGGCAAAACGTCGTATTTTAATGAACGAATTGAGTGTTTTTTCTTATAATGTTATCCGTATTTGGTACTGAAGTGCCCATAAGGCAGGTGTCTTACGGCGAAACATCAGATGTCTACCAGTGAGGATGACTCACTGACTCATCTATTATATTGTGTAGGAATCCTATGATATCAGATTCGATTCCATTGCGAATATTTGGAACACAAACAGAATAGAAAAAAGTGTTTTTCGTACAATTCAGCACTCATGTAAAAGTATTTGTTTCTCAAGTTTATATGAAAATAGCTGTTTCGAGAGGGCTTTTTTCGTTCAGTTTATGTTTGAAAGTTACTTCTTTGTATGATCTACACATCTTTGTATAGAGTTAATTTTTTGAAATTGATTGCTTTCTTCCTTTATTTGTAAGATTTGCACACAAGATGGAGAAGTAGAAAGTCGAAACCTTTCTTTCCCACCACAAACGTCTTTCATGAGATGAGTAGAAATTTATTTGCAAGCTTTGAATTTCCTATCACTGTCTAAAATCTGTTTTTCCGTTAACCAGCTGTCGCACCCCTACGAATGGCAACCCTCATAAGTCGAAACTTGTGCGAACTTGTGTCGAATCATTTTTAGACATTTGAAAAACGTCATCTTCCAAAATATTTTCTTAAAAGAAAAACTTTTCTATTGGGATCATGTTGCATATATTAGAAATATGTTTTTGTACATTGAATTGAGACATCACTTGCAGATTTATGAAATGAAACACTACTCTTTGTTCGAAGGAGTCATATTGTTTTTCACTTTTGAAAATGCAATATAATAAGTCAAAATCTTTTGCCTTTCAGAAGCTGATAAGAACTCTCACAATTGACTATGTTAACATATCTTACTGCAATCCTGAGTATATCATTTCTAAAATTGAAATGAAGAAACTGGACAGAAGGACGTTCAGCATGAATATTTCAGTAGATGTCTTTCGTGATGTAACGGATATGAAGGTTCAGTATACAAATCATCATGTATATATTACAAAATTATGCTTGAAGTAAAAATTAGTATAAAACGATAAATTGAACATTTTTAATCGATGAATTAAATTAGGAAAAAATGGTAAAAACATGTGTATGAAATTTTTTGTTTGATAAAAGTCGTACCTTCACACTTTGATATTAGAGTAATTTGGTTTATGACCTATAGAATGTTGTGCTAATGCATATGATTTCTCATTGAGTTTTATACCACTTTTATGTGATGTTATTCTATCATTAAGAATTCTGGACGTTGTTCCAATACAATCCAAGTTACAATTGTTACAAGAAATGTAATAAATTACAGTGGACTTCAGCTTTCAATTTAGTATTCAAATTCTTTATATTTTCAATATTTTTTGGATATTTTGTTCATTATGAAAAAGTTTTATGATATTTGAAGATGAGTTTTCAAGATTACATATAGATTTATAAAAAAATTAATGATAGATAGATTATCATTAGATACATTTCTTTTGATTATATCAGAATTTGTATTGTACTGAGGGATGATGCTGTATCTATTCTATCTATGTTCAAGTTCATAGTCTCTGTTGGAGACTCTTCTGTTGGTCTGGCCGATGTATATGCTCTGTGCCTCATTGGGTATCGTATCCTCAGATGTTCTTCAGAAATGTGAAAGTTTGATTGCTAGTTGTGTATACTGTTCTTATATCGTGCCTCTTCAGAATTTGGCTCACTTTGTCGGTAACTTCATGAATATAAGGAAGAAAACCTTTAGGGTGCTCCATCTGTTCATCGGGCAGTTTGGGATGTGAGATACAGATTTGCTGAAGTTGGATGGATCTTTGGATTTGGGATTCGAAATAGTCGTTTTTTTGACGACTGTCAGATCAAATACCATGATAATTCTCTCTATACAAGACGCATTCTTGACCGTTCCAGCTTCGCCCCCAGTCGAAAGACTATCCAAGACATCAGACGCAATCTTCACTTCACCAACTTTCGGGCGGTTTTCAAACTCAAAAGTTCATCTTGACATTTGAAACACTTTTCTCAGGCTAAATCTTGAGAGTCAAACACATCAGAGATACCAAGAGAAAGCTAACACCACTAATCACTTATAGAACGCCCCAATGAGTCACATTCGACCCCCCCAGTCATAGTCCACAACATCTTCAATACTCCGCTGGACACATACTATTTTGTTGCATTGAAACCATCATCACCCATACCGAATCAGCCATTTCCCATCTTCCAGAAAACTTACCAAAGATGTCCAGCAAGATATCGTCACTATTTTAATAAGATCAAAACATCCAAAATCCAATAACACACCAGCGGAAAGATACTTCCTGAAAACCTTTAACAACAATCCAGACATAGTTATCCTTTTGTCGTTGTAGTGCTCAACACCACCGGCAACAGCGACAAGATGACGACATTACTCGACTCCGCGGAATAACAACCAACAACTAGAGAACCCACAACATACCTGGAAAAAAAGACCAAATCACCGATCACTAACATACCCGCCTTGGAAAAGAAATGACTCATTCCAAGAGAGAAAGCCTATCGTAAACCTCGTTTATAAGGTCTTTCAAAAATACACGAACCAAACATCCCACTTCGTCCCATCGTCAGAGCTTTGGGATTCCCCACATACACCCTTGCCAAAGAATCTGCTGATACTCTCCAATCACTGGCCGAACAGTCTTCATCAAATGTCGAAAATTCCTATCACTTCATTGGAATGCTCCATTATCCAACAAACAGACATCTTTGTCAGCTTTGACGTAATAATATCCTTTTCGCGAATATCTCACCATCCGAAATTGTCCATCCTCAAAACAAACTATAAATTTCCCCAAGGCACTCTCAACCACTGCATGTCAAGCACCTAGCTCCTTTTCCAGGGCGAATTTTACAAACAAGTGAAAGGCGCTTCCATGGGTTCCCCACTTTCTTCAGTCCTTGCGAATCTTTACATGAAAGATTTTGCAACCAAAGCCATTAACATATCTGACCTCAAACCTACGTTTTGGATTCGATACGTAGATAACGTCTTCATTATATGATCTCATGGCCTCAATAAAAGTCGAAAATTCAACAATTTACTTCCACTCCCGGACGTTCTCTTCACAAAATCCAATGATTCCTTCACATATACTGCTAACCGAAAACCAACCCATACTAACATCTAGGTCTAAGTCCCATCATCACCCTGCTCAATTGAATTCCGTTTTGAATTCTCTCATACACAAGTCTATCAAACTCACTGACACCCACAATAGACCCAAGAAACTAGACGAACACAAATCCGCCCTTCACCAAAACGACTGTCCCCAATCCAGCAAACCCGCATCCCAAACAGCACGATGAACAGACGGACCACCCAAAAGCTTCTCCTTCTTATATTCATGGAGATACCGACAAAGTGAACCGAATTCTGAAGAGGCACGAGAATAGAACAGCCAACAATCAAATTTTTCACTTTTCTACCAATACCCAAAGACGCAATGCGCATGTACGAAATGCAATGTTCCACCTGCTCCAGAACTTACATCGGCCAGACCAACAGAATAGTCTGCAACAGAGCCTATGAACATAAGCTTGCTGTCCGTAAATCAGATCCAGCCTCATCCTTCTTCAAACGTCATCGTGAAACAAGCCACATAATTAGCTTCAAAAACACCAAAATCAGTACGAGGTTGTATTCATTTTGAAAAACGTTCTCAGGAAGTTTATTCCACATATACGCAGTTTTCCAAATAAAAAAGTTCTTGAACAGTGAAGTTCGAGGTGTACTGAGTTGAACCTCCAAACGATGAGCAGCCACAGTCCGTCGCGTATGTCTGATATGTACCGCTCTTGGTGGAATCAAATGTGCCAAGTCACTTGAACAATTTCCGTGAAAGTATCTATAGAAGAGAGACAAATCCCCAACTTTTCTTCGATGTTCCAGACTATCAAGGTTGCAAGTAATGTTAACGTCTTCAATCAGGCGGATGGTTTTTTCTGGATAGAATCCGGCAGCTTCAGGGTATGCTTAGGGGCGGAGCTCCATACATGAGAACAATACTCCAAAGAAGATCTGATCTGAGCTTTATAAAGCATCAATAGTTGCTGAGGTGTGTACAGTTTTCTGGTTCGGAACAGTGTTCCAAGCTTTTGAGAAGCAGCTTTTGCAATTCCAGCGACACGATTGTGTCCTGACATATCGGTGTCCATTTTAACACCCAACAAACTTATAAAAGTTTGGCCAGCCAACCCTCAAGCCACACAAGGTCAAAGGCCAAGCACAACAGCTCTCTATGTTTCACGATTGCGTTATTCCAAATATGGGTGACATACGATAGAAGATGTTTCCGGAAGTCATATTGATGATCGATCAAAATGTTAAAGCCTTCCAAATATTTAAGGATACAGTGGTTTACGGCTTCCTCCATGATTTTTGATATCACTGATAGCAAAGTGACTGGTCTATAGTTAATTGGAAGATTTTTCTTGCCCTTTTTTGGAATGGGCTGCACGCGAGCAATCTTCCAACAAGAAGGAAAAACCCCTTCCTTGTAAGACAGGTCAAAAGTCTAGAAAATACTGGTGCGAGTTCATTTGCACACTTTTTAAATACGATGACGGGCATTTCATCAGGACCAGACGTCTTGTTGATATTAAGCTGTTTCAAAGTTCTCCTGACTGGACGTTGCCGAAAAGTGATTTCCGGCAGTGTGGTTTCTAGTGTAAGAAACTTGTAGATTTGTTATGTCGGCTGTTGTTACAACTGAATCATCCGCTTGTGTTAGAAGTGGGATTGTTAATTTTGTAAAGTTTTGATTAACAGCTTTAGCTACCGACCAGAAGGATCTAGACCCGTTAGGATTGGCAAGCAGTTTATCACTAATGCTCTGAGTTCTTTGCTTTCAGCTTGCTCGCAATCTTTGTTGAACCAAGGTCTACCGTTGGAAGTTTATTTCATTGAAAAAGGAATATGTGCATCCATGGATGACAGAATAACTTCCATGACTTCGAAAGCACAAATTGATGGATCATTTAGAGCTGAAACAAACATCCAGCCAGGGTAAATTTCGAAAATGGTCTTGAAGACCCACCCACTCAGCAGCTCTGTAATGCCAAACTTTGCGCGGCTTAGATTGTTCTCCAACATTTATCAGTTAATCACTCAACACTGAAATGAGTTCGTGGTCAGAAGATTCCATTGAAGACCTTACGGTGACTGTGTAAATTTCTGGATTGGTTGTTAGGTATATATTCAGAAGACCAGCATATTCTCTATCACGATCAGGAATCCTGGTTGACTCATTTATAATCTGAGTAAGTCCGCTGCTTATTGCAAAAGCCTTAGCTTCGCCACCTTGTTCGTCGTTGATGTGAATGTGAGCCATTCGATATTGTGGACATTGAAGTCGCCGAATATGGAAATACCTCAAATCACTGATTGTTTGACATACGATTTGTGTGCAACGGCAATGTTGCACACAAATCACAAACTTTCCGCGTTTAGGTTAGTTTTCTTTTCAAATAAAGGAAATCCGAGAGCATGTATTTGTATATATTTATTGAAAAGTAAGAAGTAGGTAACGATATATTTTACAAAACCTTTATATTTCACCCAGTAACTATGAAAGCAGTTTAAGAAAAAGTCAACCTGTATATAAGTAACTATATATGACATTCTAGATATAATAATAATAATAATAACTGTATTCAGAGTAAAGGAAAATAATTTTGAATTAAAGGTTACATGATTGTTCTGAATAAAATATTATAGTGTGGAGATAAGTGCAAGCACTTGTTTCTCATATACACAGTACTGGTAAAATAACGATGAAGAAATAATAATGATGATAAAATAAAAATAAGTATAATAAAATGTGGTGTAATTATACACACATACACAAATACACCCACACATTTATACACATATACACATAGGTATACATATATAGGAAATGCATGAGGAATACAGTGCAAAAAATTGAGAAAATGTAAAAATGTATCGTGTAAAATGTAAAATAAAGAATGTCAAATGTAAGATGTGAAATGTAATATGAATATGTAAAATATATTCATTCATATGATCCTAAAGGAGCGTTTAGACGATGTCAGTGCCTGGCAACAGTCTCACTGTATTGTCAGCATTAGCCCCGTGTGAACAATTTTTTCCAGCCCAGCCAAGCTGGTTGAATATATCGGCTGGCTATTTTTCTTGCCAGTATCCTAATCGCCAGCAGTTTTGGACACGCATAGCAACAGTTGCTTGGTCATCACCTATATGCCAGTCGCCCAGTCTTACAATTTGTTACTGTAGCATTAATTACATATTACTGTAATGGAAAACTCTCTCAAGACTTTAACTTGCCTACAGTTACTGCGAGTCACTGGCTTCGCCTGAATGTTCCTTAACGAATAGTTTTGGGTACCCAAGCCTAATTTTCAATAGGTTCTGGACAGATTTTATTATAATCCACGTTCAACAAAATTATTTCATTTATTCTAATTCCATACATTAATATAATCAATTTTTTCAGGGCTCTATCAGAATATTCAAATTTTCGGATAACGTTTATAAGGAAACAGCATTAAAATACTCTGGAGATTTATGCACGTTGTTGGATATGTTACGTCAAAAATATAAAATTCACATGAATGAACAATTCAAACATTTTTTCACAAAATGCCCCATTATGAAGGTAAGTTAAATAGGAATAATGGTTCATTCAACTTCCATGTCTTGCTTTTAGGGACATTACTACATGCACAACTTCAATGGAAAAGATTTAGGGGTTCCAATTATTCCACAATGGAAGACGAGAACTTTTATTGAGGTTGAGTCGAACAATGTGTTAATAGGTAAAGTTTACGCAGATATTACCGTTATTGACGAATGAATACATTATTGAGAAAAAAGAAAACAATAATAATGACCGCAGCATCCACATATTGTACCTGCTGATGATGAATAAAAATAACTTCTGCAGTTTTTATATTCATTTAAAAAAGTATTCGTGATGGAAATGGTCGATACTACAGTTTACAAAACCCCAACACGTGTTTCATTATACAGTGCTTCTTCAGCCAAGTTCAATACAAACTACTTTTTGTTTGTATACTTCTGAAGAATCTATTGCTTAGTGAAACGTGTTGCGATTTTGTAATCTCTTCATTTTCCTCGAGATCGCCGTTGTCTTATTGAAAAACTTTCAAAAAGTGCAGTCAAAAGGTATATCGAATTCAATCACAACACAATCGGCAAATTCGCGAAATGTTGCATACCTACTTCAGACATAACCACTCTTTGAGAAATCAAGAGGACTAGGTAGGTACCTAACAAAACTTCTGCCTTGCGCTGATATGCGATTGAATAACCCTGCCGGTAGAGATATGTCACCCATGGTAGTAAGAGTCCTCCTAAATGACGCTTCATCTTGAGGTGTATTCATCCGTGCCGAAACTTGTATGACCGAGTCCATTCAGTATCACCAACTGAACCTTGGAGATACCAGGCACTCTCTCATCGTAGAAAGAATTATCACAATAAGGCTAGACTCTACCGCTACGAATATTGCCCTATTAATTACTTGCGACACTTTATGGACCATGAAGTAGGTAACCAAAGGGCCCCAATCCTAAGATGAAGTGAACACAGGCTAAACGACCTCAACTGTCATCTCTCTAATATCGCATCAAGCGCAAAAGCTTGATATGACAGTCGCCACACTGTTCCAAACTATTTGGTCTTCAAAAAAGCCATTAGAATAATAAATAATTTTCGTTGCTTATTATTGATTCATGATAGGCAGCACATATATTTGAAACGCATAGTCGATACCGAAAACATATTCTTCAGAAGTCAGTAGTGTAGCGCGAACCCAAAAAATCATTTTGAAAAATGAAAAATGAGACAAAAAAAATTATTATAGTAATCTGTCTGAAAATGATCTTTACGGGTAAATTAGGGTTAGTTGATGTGAAAAAAATTATTTTCAGAAAGAAATTTGTATGCATCAAATATTGAGACCACTCTAAATATGTTAGGGAATTTTACCGATCGGTAACATAGCAATCTGTCTGGAAATTATTGAACGTGATGAAATGAATTATCCAGATATGAAAAAAAATTATATCAGAAGTATTCAGTGTAGCACCTCCTTTATCAGAACACTTTTCGATACCTCAAAATTATTCAAAAATCGTATTCAGGTATATTGGAATCTATGTTACAAGCCAATGGATAAATTGCGACCCTGAAATTGTTAGATGATGATGAAGAGAGAGCTCACCTGAAATCGTAAAACTGAAGTTGAAGAAGTGAAATAAATGACACACAAGATAACTGGGATGAAGTAGAAAAATAAAGGTTTATTTAAAGTTATAAAAGATCAACGCATTCAATAACTGTCGGTATCGGAATCATCATCATCGAAATCACTCTCGAGGTCACTTGTGAGATCTTCAATGTCGTCTCCTATAAAATAAATATCATTGGTAAAAATCACGAACTTATTTGTGGAAATAACAACAAAAGCCACATTAACTATACCTGTTGATTCGTCATCCAAAACCTCTTCACTCTCAACTCTGGTAGTTGGTTATAGGAGAACCACGAAAACTGGAACCGTCCCTCGTCTTCACACCATCCGAAATCTGCAGTTTTGAGATCGGTTAGAATTTTCTCATGAGCGTTGCTCCATACTTGGGCAATATATTTCCTTCGCAATAAATGTTTTTCCAATTCTACTTTGCATGGTGGCAGATTGCAGGCATCGTAATTGGATGACTTGAGATTCAGAGTTGTGGAAGCTTCGTCTTTTTTATTTTACATGTCTTTGTGAAAATGTTCAGTTGAGCTGAATCTACATTATTAATTTTCTTTTCATTGTACAATTTGTACGTGAATTCTTCCAGTATGAGGAATACTTTCTCAGTATTAGAGGTACAGCTGCCCATATCGGCAAAAGCTTCTTGGTAGCGTTAAGGATGCTTTGGCATTGTTATTGGTCTTTTGTTACCCTTGCCATATGTATTTCATTCTTACCTCGCTCTTGATGTAGATGCTCCGTCATCAAAAAAATTACCAGCGTCATAATTTGCATCACTTGACGTGGAACTATAAACATTTTCTGGAAAAATATTAGGATCCTTTGGAATCCTTACGGCTGTGAAATTTCAATAACACGTTGAATGATAGCCAACGTCCGTATCAAAACACCACGAGGTAACTCAATGTCGGAGTAAATCGATTTCCTAGCACTGTGCTTGGTACTCCGAAATTCAGCTACTTCTTTACACTTTTGCAGTGTCTCATTAGTAAATTTTTTCATTTTTCAAGGCTTTTTTCTTCACAAAACACACAACTCAGGTCCGACATTTGTTACACCACAACCGCACAACACATGGCAACTGAGTGAGCGTCATTCCAACGGTTAGAACAGCTGGTGAGTGAGCTGTGTATAGTAAGAGAGTGGCAGGAGCGTAACACGCGAAAAACCATTCCCACCGCATCGTAAGAAGCGCTCAGGCATCGGCCAAGCGACTTCAAAACGTTCTTTTCTCTTTTGTGAGTACATGCGACATTTAAAATTTTTGTAATCCTAGCAAATATACGAATGGTTCAAAAAAAAATTATCCGGATTGCTATAATACAAGACTGCAAAAATTTTTGACATTTTCAAAAATTCGCTTCAGCTATATACTACGCGCAAAATGTCTGAAAACCAACTTATTCGTTATAAAACCTATGTACATTTCCAATATTAGACGTATTGCTGTGATACCGACTAACTTTTACTTAACTTTCAACAGTTACTCCACACCTAGTTGGGTTCAGAATCATATAATCTAACTATTTTATACAGTTTCGGCCGTATTGCTATGATACATGGTTTTGGTCGTGGGCTCTCGTACTAAGAGGTTGTGAACATGTCGAAAGAACGTATTTGTCACATATTAAATAAACATTTAGGCATGAGAAAGCTGTCCGCGCGTTGGGTGCCGCGTTTGCTCACGTTAGACCAAATACGTGTTCAAATGAACATTTCCAACGCTCTGTTGGCGCAGTTTATATATAGGGGTTCCACAGGGGTCCGCCTTGGGACCTGTATTATTCTTATTATATATCAATGATATTGGCAAACTGGACGTTCCCGCTTTTTTACCTTATATGCAGACGACACGTCCGTTGTCTTATCATCTAATGACAATGCAACAGTGAACTAACAGTAACCAATATGGAAGAGTGGTTTGCTGCTAACCTCCTTTTCATGAACATGGAGAAAACGCAGGTGATAAGGTATCATAATGGACAGAGAGAATGTGAAGAACTATTTTTTCATAATATTAGGACGGGTGAAGAATGTGTAAAATTCCTGGGTTTGCATGAGAATCCTGCTGCTATAGTTTTAAAAATATGGGAATTTCAACAATGTCGTCCGTATTTATATTTGAAACTTGTCTATACGTATTTAAAAATAAAGCTAATTTTATACTGAGATCTGATATTCATCATCTTATTACCAGACAAAAAAATAATTTAGATGTTCCCCATTACAGAACAATGATATGTTCGAAGTCACCAAATGTAATAGGGCCTAAAGTCTTCAATTCTCTACCCGATGATATTCGAAATTGTGTACCTGCACCTTTGTTCAAATCTCGCTTGAAATCGTACTTGATCGAAAAGTGTTTTTATGACGTGGATTCGTTTTTTCTGCAAGCTAATGTAATGTAACTATTGTGACAATTTTGTGATATTTTATTTTTTATGTAATCTAATTATCTTTAGAATATGACTGTGGTTTGTATTATTAGTATGCCTAACTTCTGTTAATCTACTTTCTACTTTTAAGACAATTCCTATACAATTTCTTATTGTCTAAAAGAAAATAAAAATTATTATTATAGTTTAGGCGTAATAAATCAGTTTTGGCGCCGATTAACTGGGAGAAGTGTGTAGAGGTTAAAAGAAACTGGATTGAAAAATTTTTTGAAATGAAAAAATGTCTTGTACCTTTGTTGCGTCGGAAACTTTCCAGACCACTCTCGTAGGTATGTTAGGAGAGATGAATGTTTCAAGATATCATTTCGAAATATTTATTTTCTTGTACTATAAACCATATTTCTCAAGATACCAGTGCTTGATATATTTATAAAACCTCATTCTTCACAATATTTTATATTTTTGATTAATTCAACCTTATATTTCATTAAATACAAAGAAAACTAGCCTTTCATGTGAATGTAGCCCTCGGTTCGGTCTGAATATACACTGATTTAATTTCAATAATCAAGCTTGTTATCACAAATTTGAAATCATCTTCTCAAAAGAATCTAATTGAAATTGCTCTAGACAGTGAATAGAAACAAAAACTCATGAATAGCTGACATTTTATAACAAAATCATATATTTTATTTATATTCAAATAATAATATAAGAACTACATTACTTAATGGAAATTCAAGCGAAAAATTCACTCTTGCTTGACATCTCATATTCCAACTCCTCGTTTTTGTACATATCTATCATTCTTTGGATATCGTGAGATAGCATTTCCAACTGTTTATCATGAGTAATTTTCAACTTCTCTTTTTCTCTGCTCTGTTTAATTTGGGCTGTTTTACGTTCATCCACAAAACGCTTTTGATTATTTTGTTGCTTTTCTTTCAACCTACGTTCTTTGTCTCTCTTGGTTTTGAGATTCTTATCACTGGTAACCTGAAAAAAAAATAAAGATCAACTTTAAAATGTGTTGAGGCAGTCATTAGGTGAATATGTGAAAACTAATCTTCAGTGTTACATTTTCCTGATTAATTTAGTTCCATTTCATTGTTTTTCCAAAAACCCAAATTATATCATATTTCAATTATTTAAAGCACTCATACGCCATTAAATACCTGATCGCAATTGTATTCAACATCAACTTCAATTGTCACATGAATTGGAGGAAATTGACTTGCCCTCAGTTTTTCAAAAAGTTTAGTCTTTTCATAAACTACACCTCACGATTTGAATTCCACAAACTTTATTTGAAAAATATATCACGACATGTTTCGCTAACACAGTTGCTTTATCAACAGTGATCATGAAATTACTATGGATCTTCCTCAAGTAAAGACCGAATCGATAAAAAAATTTGGTCTTCCCACATATATGTGTGATTTCCATCGGAAAGTCCTGACCGCCATTATAACTACATTTTTTCAAAGCGTTATTACCCCAGAAACAAATTTGAAACATAAATATTCAAAACACGCAGTAACAATAGAAGCTTTTGTTTGAAAACATCATTCAACTATATAAACCATATTTACCTTTAGGTTTTTCATGTGAAAGAAGATTACACTATATGGACTATAAATATAATATGAGAACAAATATGTTCAAGGAACACAATGATGTATATAGGGAGTAGGTTAGAGAGTGTAAATTTAAGGTTGAATTAAGAGACAACTTTTACAAGAAGTTTTTCTGACTACAGCTTCTCTTTAGTATTGTTATGTGATATTTCCATTGTTTCCAAAATTATTTTCCAATGATATGACAAAAGCTGTCTAGGAATTATTCCTTCTGTTTACAATGGTTTATACTCTCATTATTATATTTAGAAAATAACTCGAATAATCGAAGAATGTAAAGTGCTATTCTATATCTCACAATACATCAATAAATTCATTGTAAGGACATTTGGCAAAATAGAACCGTAGTTCATGGGGAATATTCTGAGGAAATAGTATCTCAATGTTACTTTTTTTGAAATTTTTTCTTAGACATTTTCGAATTTCAGTGTCCCGTCAAGGTGTAAACCAAAAAATTTTGATGAGATTAGATGAGAGACGCTATATTTGAAACCAAGTACTTTGGGTTTTGGTGTTGAAAGATAACAGATTTGCTACTCTAATTCTTTTTAGATCTCTTTCCAAATTTTCATGAAGTGTGTCTGTACTTTTTTCATCCATAGAAATCAGAGTAACCTGGTGATTGAGTTGAAGTATATTTTGTGTAGATCTGTATCGAGAAAAGAATTTTAGAATTCACGGAGCCAAAGATCACAAAACTGCTGTTAGAATCGTCCCATTGTTAATTATACAGGCCATTAAAAAAAAACAGAAAATTGTACCATTCCTCTTTTTTACATTGAAAACTAAACTGAACAGATCTAGTTATTTAGTTGCTTTATGAAAATTGTCTAACTCTACACTTCCCTATTATTGGGAATTGCCATCCCTGTTATCAGAAATTGAAAAAAGTTTACTCTATCCGGTTTGGATAAGATTTCCGAGGATCATCTATCCTTGAAACTTTTTTAACATTGTATACTCCCCCAACTTCGACTCGATAATTTTCACAAGAGAACACTTCTCATTAAAGGTGTGTTGATTCTGCTATGTTTCATAGCTGATGTGTCTGTGAATATTCAGGGGTTAGTGACGATAGCACTCGATGCTTTTGGCGTCGAAGGAAAGTATATTTAATATATCATCTTTGTCAACTCATCGTTCAAAATTTTCTGTCAAAAAGATTATCATTACTACTATTCACTCAAAAATAATGGAGGGTAGTATTATCAGAACTAAAAAACAACCGAGAAACAAATTTACCTCTTTGGCTGTTTCCACTGAAATCTTAGCTTGCGCACTGCTCAGTTCCTTCATGTCTCTGTCGTGTTTGGCTTCCAACTGCTTCATCTGAAGTACCTGTAATACTTCCATGTGTTTACGTAAAACATCCCTTTGGTCATCTAACTGATTTCTAAGGAACTCCCATTCCTGTTTTCGATGACATTCCATCAACGAGCTCCACTCAAGGGTTTGTTCGGTTACCAATTTCCGAACTGCCGGATCATTCACAATGTCATTTTTGCTGAAAAATGTCAGGAATGATTGCTAAAAAATGAACACAGGAAAAAGGTACTCACTTTTTGCCCTTGATGAGCTTTTCAATGGCGGAACACTGAGTTTTTTGGACAGCTAACTTTTCTTTGGTTTGTTTTTTCTTCAAAGCATCATATTCCTTTTGTTGTTTCTTGGTATTTTTTTGAAAAGCCTTGTCCTGCTTTATTGTTTCGATAGTAATGGGTTCAAACACTGTAAAAAAATGTGACACCAAAATCGTCAGTCACCATTAGAAATAGAAAATTATCATTACCGATTTTATTTTCCTCCTTCTTCTCCTTTTTCTCGACTGGTTTGTCAGTAGTAACCTAAAAAAATTAAAATCAATATCTGTAAAAACCATCATAAATAATATACTCCACAAAATTTTTGATTATATTCTCGGATTTCTAGAAGATATATATCTCAACTCAAATTGAGAAAAAGAGTTCATTGAAATATAGGCACAGATGATTATTTATACCTCTATTCCCATGGACGACATCTGTTCCGTTTGTCTTTGTTGAGCGCCCATAAATCCTCTTGGATCACTCAATGCGGCCATGAAGTCTTCGAAACCATCAGGAACATATATTTTCAATTCGATATTACAGAAAAGCATGGGAAGAGACATTGGAAAGTTCGCTTCAGTTCTTAGAGAGATGTGACGATAGCCAGCCTACAAAACAATTATTTTTTATAGAATTATAAGTTTCAGAATAGAATAGTCATAACTATAGTTTTCAAAGACAGGAGGAAATAGTTGTATTGAAATACATGAAGAATTAGACAGTTTGACGTTGTCCCGTATATACAGGGTATTCCTGAACGCTGTGTAAATATTTATGGATGCTTATAAAAAACTAGTATGTTTCTGAAGCTATCAAGTTCAAACATAGTACACAGCCTTCTGTTTCCGATGTCTATTCAACTAACAAAAACATGTTGATCTTTCTATAGGATGTTACTTTTTTCTGGTCCTAATCCTTTCAACAACAGAAGACCGGGTAAGGTAAACTTTCGTATTAAAAAAGTACCTATGCAATTGTGTACATGGTTGTTTTTTAAATATGAGCAGGAATTGTAGAGAAAAAAAATATTTTCTCAGAATATGAAATCATAAATGTATCATAAATTTACAAGAAATCCAGGTGTCTTCATTCATTAACAAGTTTCATATTTTTCACATCAAAGTACTCTTAGTTGATATTACATAATTTATACTTTATACCATTGCTTTCATTGTCTTTGCATTCAATTTATGTTCATTTATTCTTAAAAATGGCTCAAATTATCTCAGAACTTTATTCAATCATATCATTGTTTCTTCAAAATCATTGATGTAAAGTACGCACCAACTAAGATGAGTCAGCGAAGAAACGTAAAATCGTTGTGTTAAAAGACCCCGCCCACTCAAGTCATATTTCGCCAATACTATTGACATCAGTTTGTGTGGCCAACAGCTATCTATCTAAATACGCATCAAAATCTCATCTTAGTTAGAGCGTACTATAACAGTTTATAGTATGCCATTAGCAAATGTATTAAAAAAATCACTAATATCAAAAAAAAGACATCAAGTGCATAATTAATGGACGAGGTTTGAAAACACTGCTTTGAAGCACTCTCATATCATTACTGAGTTCATCCTCAAGAAGCCTATTGATAAGGAAAAAAGGTATTGAGCAACTGTTTCAAAACTAGTCTCTTGTCACAGAAATGTATAATTCAGCTAAACACACCTGAGGTAGATAAGAATAATTGTGTCAAAAAACTGTGATAGGCATCAAAGTAGTTGTCCTCACATTCTTCACTGTTCTGGATTTGGTTCTCTGGTTTTTTATTCCATCTATGGTGGATGTGGTTTCGTTTCTATTGGTTCAGTTATTTGACTTAATCTATGTATAGTTGAGTGTGGGTAGCCAGACTTTATTTATGTTAAATCCCTCTTCTTTTCTATCAAAAACTGTGTATGTTTTTATTTCCCATCTCTTTTCTATACAATTTTGAGTGGTAACATAAAAACGATGAAAATTCAAAAACACAGCAAAAAGGAAAACCAAAACATAAAGTCTAGCTACCTGCACTCAACAATACACACAATTCAGACCAAATTACAAAACCAATAGAAACGAATCCACGCTCACCAATGATGGAATGAAACCAGCGACCGGAACCGATCCCTGAACAATATAGTATATGATAGGAGGACAACTGATAATGTTTAACGCAGTTATAGATGAAATGTCAGTCATAAGAACCTGCAGACCACAGCCAGAAAACTCGGAAAAAAGCTTTGCTACGATTATCTCTGTCCGTGAAAGTTTATATTTTCAGTAAAAAATATTTTTTGAAGAAAAGATAGATTCAAATCAGAAAAAATAGGACGAATAAAAAATGTATTTGTTATTGAAGAGCAAACATCGATTTTGTTCAAGAGATAAACTAGGACAATCATGCAGGATAATAGAATTATAAATCAGGGCACAACATATCTTCCAAGAGAAGCATCACTAAGATACTGGATGACGATGCGTTCTGTCTCTGCACCACTAATAGAAATCTCAACAACCAATTGGAAAATATCAGGATGTTTTTTTGTTATTTTTTAACAGAGGATTACACCAAAATAACGAAAAATTTGAACCCCAGTACATTATGAACAATTTCCATAATTGTTCATAATAATATTTAAAAAAGTGGTAACTTGCCTGCAAACCATCCAGAGGTAAAATTCTTTGGCCCAGAAGCTTTCCATTTTCGTCATAGACACCGAATCTCAATACTGCCAAATCTGGTAAAACGACTTTCCTGAATAAAAAAGGTTCTTCATTGTACACTGGATTGAGACCATTCTGAGGGACCAATCTCGTACGAAATTCTCTTCTGATAGTATCTGTAGGTAAACCATACATATCTACCTCAACGTAGGTGCCAATCTGGAAAAACAATCTACTGGGTCAATATATTAGGTGATACTACTTTTAATAAATGAAATTTAAAAAAGTTGATTGTAGTTATAATTAAAAATGTATAAAAATATCACTCACTTTCTTGTCAGACAAAAATTGTCCGGCTATTACTTGGACAGCACACTGGGCTGCGATTACTCCGTCAACAGGACATTCAGCAAAAGGATCGAAAGTCCTATCATGACGTCTCATGAAATCAGGTTTCAGCAAATAACCGCAATTACCGTTGTATTCGAATTTACCTTGATTCAACTGCATAGGCAAATCTGACGTTTGAAAGTTCAGTGAAACCATCTGACATCCAGCATTCCAAAATACCTTTCAAAGAAATAAAATAGATTGTATTATAGGTTTTGGGAAAGAAAGTATTATAGTTATATCAGTGATAAGAATATATTCTCGTTGATCAAAAAAGTGGCAAAGCTAGAAAAACGAATTCATAAATGGAAGTAAAATTTGTTTGACCTTAAAATTAGATGATTATGTTATATATTAGTTTTCAATAATCTCAAAACTAATGAAACAGTTTAAATCTATTTTTAAAAAGTATTAAAAGCTATAAAAAGTTTGGAAGACCTTTCAAGATGTAACAAAATTTCATTTGCAACTGTTGTTGAATACATTAGAGAAAATATCCTAAAACGAAAGAAAAAATATGGTGTCAGAAGTGGTATTTCTCGATTTTTGGATTCTTTATGATCCAGTCCTCGGTAAGAATTAACGTCTGCCCACTACCAAGAGTCGACGCTTGAGAGTACATGGGAATGTACATACCTGCGGCATATAATTTGAAGAGTTAGCACGAGCTCCGCTAGGGTAGATACGTGACATTTGTCTTTTGTTGTAATTAACAAACTCTATGGCCTGCGTTTTCAAGTAGTTCAAACCATTGGGCTCGGAGAAACTAGACATGTTGTGGTGAATATTTTTTTCTAAAAACAGCCAAAGAATAATTCGATATTTTTTCACCAATAAATACTTTACCTTCAGCAACATCGAATCCTTGAAACTTTACTGGTTGAGCATAATTCACCATCGAACTCAACCAAGGATGCACATTTGTGGTGGAGCCTGTGTGTATGGGCCTAGGTATAGCTTCTCCCTCTGGTAACCCCACTTCTGCAGGGTTCTAAAAGGGTAAAAATACTCATCAATCCAACATGAACTATAAATCATTCAATATCACCTCGAGGGAAATATCATTTGGAAGGTCCGGTGGAACAGGTCTATCTGCACTGGCATTGGCATCTTCTTTTTCTTCATCCTCGATAACAAAATCACCCTGCCTGAATAATTCCAACTCTTCTTTCTCCACTTCTGGTTTCAATCTTAAAATTAAGGGCAATATAATTTTTGGAGCAGTCTCCTTTCACGAAGTAGAGTATACCTTTTGTTTTTTATCAAGATTTTCCTCTTCAAAGCACAGGGTGGCGGCAGAGGGCACCCAGGTTCCAAAGGATACTCTTCCAAAGGCTCTTTCAAAAGCAGATCACCTTTTAGAAGGAGGTAAAACAATTAATGATCCGTGGTAAGGAAATCAATTCTAATCTAAGGTAGTTCTCAAAGTTGTAATGAAAATAAAATATTCCTCACATTAGAAAAGTTTCTCTAAGTATGAAGAAGATGTACCAATTTCATTTCCTGTACATTAAATTAGAAATCAATTTCTGTTCATTATTATTGAAAAAAACTATTTTAGTTTCCTAAATGATTTAGTAGGTGAAGACAAATTTGTATTTTTGGGAGGCTCAATATCTTCATTTGTTGTGAAAATATTTAATTATAATAATAATCTCCTTTATTTCTCACATAAATTGTACACTTCATATTTGTGACCAAGAGCTAATAAACAGGAGAAAAGGGCGGAGTTCATTTCATTTGGAGACACGTCCTCCTCTGAAATGTTTCAATCGATCAATCAATCAATGTACTTTATTGTCTAAGAGGAAAGACTCTTGTTGACAAAGCATGGTTTACATGTAGAATACAATAGTATATGCCTATTAATTTGTCAGTGATTTATATAAAATGGTTAAAATTTGCAGATATAAACAATAGATAATACATATATCTTTGGTCTAGTTGTAAAAAGAACAAAACATAAAAACAAAAATATATAAGTAAAAATATATAAAAATTTTTTCATCTTTCGATGAAATCACACATAAATATAGATAATTTAATCTTATAGATAAAATGCAAGAAGCTACTGTTAGCCCAAGATACTCTCACTATAATACTCCTGCAGGCTGTAGTATCCTTTAGTTAAAAATATGCTCTTGGCGGTTTTCCGAAAGATTCTCGGGCATGATATATTTTTTACTTGGCTCGGCAGATGATTGAAGAGTTTTTTACTCTCAAATATGAGAGAGTGTTTGGTTATTGTCGTTTTTGGTAGCGGTAGGGGTAAGTCGTGTTTTTAATGAGTATTATATGGTCTTACAATTGTCATATTTGATTTTTTCTTATGCATCAAGCACACTGTTTCAAGGATAAAAATATTGTATAGGGTCAGAATTCCATGTTTAATAAAAAGTGGTTTACAGTGATCCCTGTAATGCCATACAATGCCATACATTGAGTGTGATTCAATGAGAGAAAAGTAAGCCATTCTGCCTGCCTTTGTTCCGAGTTCCGTAGTGATAACTCTGCATAGCAGCCCGAGGCTAGGTTTTTGTTTATGTTCCTTACATGGTCATCAAATCGTAATTTATCATCAATGTATATACCTAAGAATTTTATGCTGGTATTGTTATTTATGATTTGTTCATTCAAGGTCAGATTTTCATAATTGAACTTGAAGGTCAGAATTTTGGTTTTATTTCCGTTGAAGCAAAGATAGTTTGAGTCACACCAGGTTTTAACTTTCTGTAAGTCTAGAAAGATACGCTCTTTCAGAATTTCTATATCACTTCCATGCCATAGTATGGTGGTATCGTCTGCAAACATGGTAAAGGTTCCATGTATATCAATCTTACTAAGGTCATTAATGTAAATAAGGAAAAGAATTGGACCAAGAACGGATCCTTAGGGAACTCCCAAGTTAATTTTGAAAAAACAAAAGAACAATTCGGCAATTTGACAATCTGATTTCGGTTCGAAAGATAACTTGCAAACCAGTCGAGTGTCACTCCTCTGAATCCATAGCAATATAATTTTTTGAGCAGTACTCTGTGATTAACACAGTCGAATGCTTTTGAAAAATCGCAGAATACCGCTCCAATAGCTCTTCCATCGTTTAGGCCAACATACAGTTCATTTAAAAAGTTGAAAATTGCATCACTTGTGCGTTTAGAAGTTTGAAAACCGAATTGTAGATAATATGTTATGTTGATTCAAGAATGCCAATAATCTCTTTTTTACATTTTTTTCTATAACTTTTGAAATGGTAGATAGTAAAGCTATCAACCCCAAAAATGCTGCCCTAACTTTATCAACCTTATTGAAGTATTAGCATCATTACACATCCTTCCATGAATGTTTCAAATGTATATAAATAAAGAACAAAAAAATGAAAAAAAAAATTAAAAAAGAGAAAAAATGAGCTATTTCTAGCTTTCAAATCTGTTAACACTTTGTACCATAAAAGTTTCAACTGAAATAACAACTCTCTTCTTGAATTAATCATTTACATATTTAGAAATCACAGAATTTCCATACTGTTTTAAAATCTGTTTTTCCATTGAACAACTATTGGCCCTTTACGAACGACAACCCTCAGAAGTCTAATTTTGTTCGAGCTAAGGATTAATCAGGTCTTACTTTTCAACGTGCAAGTCTTAGCGTGGAAATGAACATTAGTAGTGACGTTTTTTTATATCTTGTTTTCAAGATAAAATTTGTACAACTTGGGTGTTCAAAACTGAAACTATTGCTAGCTGAAGTATGACTCACCTAAAATTTCATCACAATATTTGGCAAGTTTATGTTGCTGTGTCTTACAACAATGGTTTTCGAACGACAGAATGACTGGGTAATCAGATGTAACGAAGGCTGTGTCCCTTATGGCATATATTACATCTTTAAACAATATGTCTGTACACATTGCTCTGCCGTGAGTAATGATGGGTTCTTCATCTTCACCTCTCCCTGGAAGAAGCGTCCAATTTCAGTGAATCAATTACAATTTATTTATAGTGTTGGAGTCTTACCATCCCAGCAATCCAACTCTACACACCGACAACCCGCCAGCAACACCTGTCGATACATTTCCACCGATGACTTTCCTCCAAACTGTCGACCTGATAAATATGTATTATGACTAGAATTTATGTAGTAGGCGCAAAGAGGTTGGTCCATTTCCATATAAATATCGAGTCGATCCAGAAACACAGGAGCATTCTCATCAGACATCAAATATCTGGAAAATTACTTTGTCAAATGGAAGTAAGAATAGACTTGTCAGTCGGTAATCAAAATGATGATTGATAATTTTGGGTTTATAGAAGGGCCATTTTAAAAGTTCATACAAAGATAGCAAACGATATTTTTTGGTCCGGTTTTATTATTTTTTCAAAATACTCGCATTTAAGACTGATTCACGACATTTGCATATGTTCAAACCAATTTTTGAAACAGTTATTCCACATAGAACACTCAAAAACATGGTTTTGGAAGACTTCACCAGCTCCTTGAGGTGAAGAAAACTGCTGTGCATTGATTTTTTGTTTGGTATAGGGAAAGAAAAATAAAGGTGTTCGCCGGTCGATGTCTTTCGACAAAAAGAAACTGTTTTCCATATTGTTTTCTGATGTTTTCTTAACTCAGAAGGTAAATCGAATAATTGGAGGACTAAATATAACTAATTCAATTAGTCCAACTCTGTCAACTCTTTTAATCCAGGACTTATGTTCAAATATACTTAAAAACCAAAATGAATTCAAACAGGTGAGAGACATGCACCTCAGTGAAATTAGACAAAAGATTATTTCTTTGCATCATTTTGTAAATACAATATTGAAGCGAATGATCCTACACCCTTAGACATGAAACTATTTTTTTAATACTTTATTTCCACAAAGACAATATGCGGTTGTATAGGAAAACGTCAATAAAATAAAATAGAGATAATGAAAATTAATTATAGTAAAAGAACAGATCTAAGAATTATTAAAAAAATTCTTGTAGGGTATAATGACGACTATCTAACAGATATGCTGCCAGTATTTGCTTAAAATTATACAGCTGCTTTGAAGCCTTCACATATTCAGGAAGATTATTGGAACGTTTTGGACTAATGAATTCTGGCCCAGAATAAGTCACTTTTAATTTCACAATTGGTACAAGGACTAGTTTTTGATTATTGTATAATTTGACTTATTTTCAAACACATACACACATTTCAATTACATAGACTGATTTTTGAGTTACAATATTATATTTTTTAAAATACTGTCTACAAAAATCTGTGGGAAATATTTGCCATACAATGCGTTTTTGTGCAACAAATATATTTTGTGCTGAAGTTGACCCTCTCCAGAAACAAATATCGTACCTAATTCTAGAATCTACATGAGCATAACAGATACTAGTCAAAAGTCAATACTGCTCTAGTCGATTAAATTAATGAAAGAAACTTCAGGGAGTTGAGTTTAGGTATGAGATGTTGGCAATGACTATTCCAATTCAGGAATTCATCCTTTCATCACTTTTTACCAATATGTTATCTAAATGTTTCTTAATAATAATAAAGTTTATTTTATTATTCAATGTATACAATTTCAAGTAACCTATTACTAATACACTACTGAGAAAAAAATAAACAGGACACCACGGAAGAAACTTCAAAAGAGTTTATTGTGTGTGGTATAGCCAACCTATTGAAAATGGAAAATTAGTTCAATTCATTTTTGGTGATGTAAACATAAAACAAATCAGGTATAATATTGAATCAACTCGTGCATAAACAGTCGAATAGAGGAAAGAAAAAAGAAAATAGACGAATAACATTGTGTGGAAAAATTCAAGCTGTCAATGTTGAAAATAAGTGGCAACTTAACAGGCAAGTGTAGTGTTGTTTCAATTTTACTGGTTGATGGTTTCACGGAATATATCGTCATTACAGTTTCTGAACTGGATATTTTCAATTTTTTTCTGGTGATTGTGATTACAAATAACCTTGTGTTTTATCTGTGTTGAAAAATAAATCGTTCTCATTAAATATCCATGCTGTATGAAGAACAGTCCAAGAAATCTAAGGAGATTCAGACAAAATTCATAAAAAAAATTCAAGAGACAAGTTATTAAAATTTTCTGAGTTTCAAGATGAATGTTCAGATCATTTGTGTTCTAGTTTAGGTGTGACTTTTCTCAAATTTATATTTACCAAAAAAAAAACAGTAATAGTACTACTATACATTCAATGATCACATTTTCTATATCAGTAGAAAACACTCCAAAAAAATGTTCTTTTTTTTGTAGATCTGTGTGTATCAACATATTAGAAAATAGCTAAATATAACACGATTATTTTGCCACATATGGATTATTGTGGTAGCTTACTTTACGAGTTCAATCTGATTACACTTTTATTTTCACAGAAATTATAAAATTTCTGTATTGGAGAGATGTTACAGTCATTGTTCAGCAATTTGAAAATATTCATCTCAGACACTATCAATAAAACGATAAAACATTTTTTGTTCTTTATAAAATAATCTTTAAAAAATTTACTATATTGTAGAACTATGTATCATAGCTACTACAATTGAATGATTACCTTCATTATACATCATAAAATCCTCTACAAAAAATATTTTGAGCACTATTTTTGTAAAAAATCACTGTTTCCAAAAAATCGCCTCTCAGTTCATAATATAAATTCTTTAATAAAAATCTTAGGAACCTGTGTTGTGGAGTTGGTACCACTTTTTCAGCATATATTGTGCCAGTACATACGTATGGTGTGAATACTAAATATATTTATATTGAAAGAAAGGAGTAACAGGTTTTCAGTCAAACCCAGGTATCAATAAAAAACTCACTCTATCTTTATATTACGTATCGTAAAAATTGAGTAGGTTTGTTTTTTGAAACTGCTTATGACTGAGAACCCTTCCTGAAATTATTTTGATATATTTATATTTATATACTCTCACCTCTGAATATTCATTATTATTGTTCATAATTATATTCTACCTTATTAGTCCATCTTTGGTTAATCTGTTGGCTAATTTGGATTCCTCATCCTGTTCGTAAGTTTCGATAATTTCTTTGGCACGTTTTTCATCATACAGTGGATACAATATCTCATTCAATCTAGGATCCCTTTGTTTTTCATTAAGAAAATTAATGAATTGGTCGACATTCAAATAGTCCGCTTGTCCTTGAGTGCTGAAAATATAACAAAATTCTAAAGATAACTTGAACTTATTAATATAAAATGTAATGCAATACATTTCATTCAAAATACTGCAATATTACCAAACAAAATAAGCTTATGAAATTCTGTGACTTACATGCTGCGAAACAGTTCTTCGATATCATTCCTTGGACAAATTTTATGATAGAGAGCATAAAACTTATCGAAAGTAAAAGCTTCAGGTTCAATGCTGTCTCCCTTTCCAGATGGAAGGTCTAGTTCTGATAATATTTGGTAAACCAGTTTTTCGGTTTTTCCTGAGGCAAAAGTTCTTGCGATTACTTTAACTGGTATGTGACCTTTTTGATCTACTGAAAATCCAAGTCGCATCCAACTAAAAATTAATTTCATATAACCTCTTCTTCATTTAGAGAATGGTAAACAAGAACAGATAAAAGTTATAACACATAAATCTATTCTTTAGAATAATTCCATTACTATTTTTATTGAAATCATTAAACACTATGAAGGAACAGGAACAACATAAGTCATATATGCACTTTTACACTATCTCTTTCTTTCATCTGCAGACATCTAATGACAGACTTTTCACAACTGTACAGGCTCTTATTCATAAACTGCTTTGAATTTATGGTTTCTTCTCCCATTTATATTATATAACAACTTCATTGTAGCCAATGGAACACTCTGTATAATCATTAATTTTTTTTAATTGGTCTTTAAGTTTCTTGGAAGGATATCAGGACATTGACATGAATTAATAATAAATAGTAAAACTGGCACCTCTGGCGAAGAATAAATCCAAAAACAAACACTTTTCCTTCTGTGGTTATTTCATAAGAGAAAGCAAGAGGCCACTGAATTTTCGAATTGGTGAAAATAAAATGAAAGCCGTATGAGGAGTATGTAGTGAGTTGGAAACAGCAGTCATTCAAATGGAGAGACGCTGATTAAAATTGAAATTCAAGGAATCTACATACATAATGAACATAATACTATCACACAACACAGTCTAATTTCTTTGAGAAATGGAAGCATCAATCAACTTCTAATATTCATATTGGTTGTTTTTTTTTCCCGGAAACAAAATAAGTAAAACCCTGAAAAATGGCTACATGAAGCTTCTCCATAGTCTATGTCACTCAAGCATATACTTAAGATAATTTAACAGCTGGTCGGACTTTTTGCTGGAAATAATTTGGAGACATGCAACACGCAAAACATTTCTAACTTTTATGCCTCTCACCAACAAACTAAACATGCTAAACAGATGGAAGTGTGCACATATGTTCGATACGAGTTTACCAACATAAAAAAATCGCTAATCGAATGTATGTAGCCCTCGAAACATTCACGTTATTTATTGAACAGACTTCATACTTACGTACCACATACGGTACGGTATAAATTAATGACAGTACTTATGAAATACCCAGTATATTTCATTTTAACAAAATCTAACTGAATTGTCCTTTTTCAGAACAGGTTGTATATGTGAAAATATTTATAAGCTAACATGTAACATAAACGAAATGGAAGCCGGACAAAGTATAGTAGGACTATGTATATTCAGACTCATACATACACCATACAATATATGTCTCAAAGAATACTTAAAATATACAAATAACACTCACTGTTTCATCAAAGCTGTTCTTGGGCAGATATTTGCATTTTTATTATTATGAGTGATCTTCCTCAAGCCTTGCTGCCATACCTGTTATGAAACAAGCCATGCAAAACAATATGCGAGTTATTTTTTTCAAGAGACCTTCATAAAATAAAAGAGACTACTGAGAGTGAATTGACTAATGAAACTTCATTATTCTACAATATACTTTTATAAAGTATTGAACGCAGTTAAGCTGCATAGACCATTAGACCTATGGGGAGAACTAAATGATATATTGTCCTGAATATTCGGTAGTTGCTATTAATGAAAAGGGTCTATGTTTCTAAAATATTCTTCTGTTACCAGTCACACAGTTTTTTATATCTTCTTTATTCAAACAGAACACCCTGTATATTTCAAAATTTTTGGATAAATACTATGTTTAATTTTAAACAACTTTCATTTCTATCAGTTTTTTGATATCTCAACCCAACAAAATTCAACTCAACAAAATCTTGTTTCAATATCCATATCTGGTAAATAAATATCACTAAAAAAGTGAAACCCACCAGATGATGAGAGAAGATATGAAACTTTCACAATCTGTACAGAATGTTGAGATCATATTCACAGAAATCGTTCCTTTAACACAGGGTTTAAAGTGGGGTACGTGTACCACTGGGGGTACGCCATTGAGTCATAGGGGGTACGCTATTAAGTTTGCGTAATGGCGGCAGCTAAGCTGCCTGGTAAAAAAGCGGGTTCTTTGCGTGGAAAATGTCCCAAAAATCAATCTTTGTCAACCAGTTCACAAAATGTACAAACTACGTCGAGTCCTTTTGGGTGTACTTCAGATGAAAGTTCAATTTCTAACATTAATTTTGCAAAAACGAGCGAATTACAGAAACACATTTCATCAGCATCAGAAGAAAACTTTGAAATGTGGATTTATGAGCAAAGAAGAATCTCAATACCCAATAATTACTCAATAATTAAATATATTCCTCTTTTTGTGTGGAGAAAACTTCGAGTTTACCTTCCTCTTCAAATCTTTATACTCCACTTTGAGTTATGGACTATATCTGTCGATTGAACCATAAAATTAGGTTTAGATGAAAGATACACTAACAATAGATTACAGTTCCATTTCAGTACAGAAAAATACAAAGAAACACACTTTCATATACACTGATGGTTCAAAGAAAAATAACAAAATCGGTTTTAGAATACACAGACATATCTATTAACACGTACACATGGTAATAGATAGAAAACATGAATCATAAGTTAACACGGATACAAAGATATACTAACATAATGAAACATTGGATAAACTCATCATCATAGGGTGTGATTTAAGTGTAGCAATGAAAATTGAAGTAGATCAATCAGAAATTAAATCGATTTCAAATTCAAAATCAAACACAATTTTGAGGTAACCTTGGAAAATCTGTACAAAAGTAAAGGATAGAATTTACATACAAACTTTGGTTTTCCAAATTCCCATACATAGTCATACATTATGATGAAAATGGGAATAAAACATTGCCAAACCAAATCCCACCTATTAAAAATCGAAATTAACAGTCAGCTCACTGTGAATATGGACGAAATGAGGACATAGATCACCTATTTTTCAAATACCCAATTTGAAAAATAGATTTTACTTTGAACACGTTTCTGAACCTTGTGGAGTTCGAGCTCTAAAATATACTAGAGAACGTTTATGAATGATTCAGACTAAGTATTACATACTATAATTAAATTTACGAACCCAATTTAGACGATCATGTTGCCAAGCGACAAGTGTTCTGTCAGACAAGATTGACAGCTGTTACTATCCTCTCTTCTGATTAATATCCATTAGCTTACCCAACTTATAAAGAAGACACTAAAACAATATTCAATATATCTTGAAAAACACTTAAATTTTGAACATTTTTCATCACTCTGTAGCCACTTTTAACTATGAAATATCTCTCAACAGAAATTGGTAAACATAAAGGAAAATATTTTCATCAAAAGCATGCATGCAGTAATTCCTTTCTGACTTACTGTTTTTTCAAACATGTCATGGGACAAAAATTATTTGCTTTCACATTATGGGTAATTTTTCTTAGGCCATCCAACCATACCTTCAAAAAGGATTATGACAATGACTTCCTATGAATGTAAACCAAGTATCATATGATTCAAAATAAAAATTATTAAGGTGCTTTTTTTGAAAAATTGTATTTTCATTTCAAAAGTAACTCCCAGTTTAATGAACCATGTTGATAAAAAGTGGGAAATCATATTTAGCAAAGTAAACTGTTATTTTTTGATCACATCAACAAAAGCTGAAGTACATTTAATATCATTTTCTCAAAAAAGGAAATAATTCCTAACGACTTCTAAACAATCAACAAAATAAATTCAAACTTGTTTTTTTGACAAATCAATAGATTATACATTCTTCACATATCACACAACACAAAATAGAAATATTATTTGAAAGAACAAATTGACAATGTCTTGGCAATCTAATATCTCAGTGGATAATTTGAAATACCAACATAATCATCAGATGAAAAATTATCACTGAAGTCAGTATTGAAATGAATTTTATTCTTTGTTCAAAAGTTAGATGAAAGTGTCATAACAAAATTTCTACAGAATTCGTAAGATTTTGATATCAACTATTTCTTATTAACTTATAAAAATGATTAAGGGTTCCATAACCTTTGGGAAATTTCAATTTGAGAATTATTGGGTGAGTTGGTGTTAATTCTGGTAGATATATGACTACAAAAATATAAATTTTGGGAATATATTATTGATCAACTTCAAGAAAATGCTGTGAAATATTACAGAACTTTCTTTTTCAACTTGGCTTTTGGACCAGTTATAGTAAGGTGTATGTTATTTTTTGATATACAGGGTGTTAATTAAGTATGTACTATAAATTTAACAGACGATTCTTTAGGTAATTTTAAGACGAAATGTTCATATAAACATGGATCCGCAAGATACAGGGTGTTAAAATAAAAATTGAAAAAAAAGTTATTCGTAAATATCTTAAATATCCTTTACCTAATTTTGTTGTAATTTCTCGAGTGTCTCGAGACGCCACTGGACTTGATAAATTGAAACACGTTCGGGCTAAATTAGCTCCTCAATGTTATAAATATCATTGCCAAATTACAACAAAATTAGGTAAAGGATATTCAAGATATTTACGAATAACTTTTTTTTTTATATTTTAACACCCTGTATCTTGAGAGCGAAAGATTTGCGGACCCATGTTTATATGAACATTTCGTCTTGAAATTACCTAAAGAATCGTCTGTTATATTTATGGTACATACTTAATTAACACCCTGTATACTAGAATGAGGATCATCGAGCAAAATTAATATGAAACGTCTCATTATGTTTCAAGAGATTACTACTACTTTAATCAAGCACCACTTTTTTATTGACTGTTTCCAGAGGATTTTTATATTTGAAAATAGCAGGGAATCAATGGATTGATTGAAATTGAAAAAATTGATTGATGAATTGTATTGAAAAATATTATTTACCGTAGCAGTTTCAGCATTTGGACACACAATGTGTTGATAATTGATGTTGATATAATCTGTCCCACTGCAAATAGTCAAGGATTTGTTTTCAAGATCCGTTCCATGTTCGTTAGTCAATTTAGTTAATATTTTCTGATCTTTGGGTACACCTCCAGCTCTAACGTCACTGACCTGGCACAACTCGATGACATCGCCTTCCTAATAACAAGCATATAATAATATAATAAGCATAAACAATATTGTTTCTTTCAAGGGGATCTCACTACCACGAAATTGACAAAATTTTATATGTGTTTCTTGTTCAATTAATTTTTTTTATTAATAAATAGAACTAAAAATTCCAATTATTCTTTCTGGGATGGAAATTTTATTACAGATGTATAAGAATATTTGACGAATTTTAACACAATTTTCATCAATTATTGAGACATGCTACTCATGGTTATTTCAAAAACAATTTTTATTGGACTTATGGGGTTTTTTTCTACTGATTAACGATTCTGAAGTCAAAACATGATGCTCCGGTCCACTTTCAGAGTTACAACCATTACAAAATTGACTTATTTCAGAAACTCACTTTTGGTACTGAAAAGTAGTAGAATGACACCTCATTTTCACTGTCTCGCATATTGTGGGCATTTATTCACTTGCTACTTCTATTTTTTTCCATTTGATTTCTTTAAAATGATCTATCTGTGAACAAACTACATAATATAAGATACTATTTTCACTTCATTACCAGAAGTGGTTTCCTGAAATAGATAGATGATATTTCAAAGTTTCAACTTTTGGGTGACACCACATTTTGACTTCAGATTCGAACAGTGGACAAAACTACAGCTTGTCAAATCTAGGAATGGAGAAATCTTTCTCTCTCTCTCTTATCCCTCTCTCTCGCTCATTCTCACTATCTTCCAACGAACTAGATCTAGTGGGCAGGACGATAACGGAATTCAGAAAGGTCTTCCTACATTTGACAAGCTGTACATAGTTAATTTTATACTTGATAATGGGATAAAACCCGAAATCGGACGAAAAAATAAAATAACTGGTGGAAATTAGACAAAAGTGTTTTCATTAATTTCATCAAAGTGATCATGAACTTCCACAAAGTAAACTTCATCAATCACACAGATATGTATGTGAGGGTAATGACATCTACCTTCACGAAGACAACATCTATGGAAGCAACAGAGAAATCAATTCTCGAACATCAAAGATAAGAGAGGCTTCCCAAGGTAGTCAGTTGCAAAGCCTGTCTTTCACTGCAAGACAAACTAGTTGTAAATTATAGCCCAAACACAATGCATTTATGATTCAACACTAGACAGCACCATTTTGACACGCCAAGGTCTCATCAGTGGAACTAGGCGGAACCACAAATGCATTGATGGACTCAAGTGTCCTCAAAGGACAAGCCTTAGTAAGTTAAGGTGATAATATCTTCCCTTACGAAGTCGCCATCTATGGGATCGACAAAGAACTGGATCCTCGAATATCAAAAATAAATCTGTTTAAAATCTGTTTTTCCGTTAATCAGCTGTCGCCCCCATACGAACGACAACTCTCAGAAGTTGAGAAACTTGTGCGAGCCAAGGACTAACGAGGTCTTACCTTTTAACGTGTGATTCCTAACACGGTTGCAGAATCATCCCAGCTTCAACCAGATAAATTATCTCGAGAAAAATATCTGGTCGAGGCAGGAATCGAACCAAGGTCTTCCGATCATGAGTCAGGCGCACTACCACCGCGGCCAATTCCAAAGCTTATATTTTAAAAAAATCAGAGGCAATTGTGCCACAGTAAACATTGAATTAAAGATATTAAAACTTATATGTCACAGCATTCAGTATTTATTTTTAAACTGAAATGAATGTATATAAAATATGAAATGTTCTAGTTTCATTTTTCATATTCAGTATGTATTTGCATTTTGAAGGAATATGTGAATTTATTTGGATTTCATCTGCTAGACGGCTCTTTAAAAAAATAAACAAAAAAGTATAAATAGGATTTGGTTTTTATCTAGCCAAAACACATTAAAAAAGCTTGAATACCAACCTTTCCTTCACTTTTCCAATAAATGAAGAATCCATATTCGTCCACTTTGAATAATGCCCGTTGTTCCAGTTCAACATTATCCTTGTCTTCCGTCCATCGATCAAAAACACACCCCGACAAAAGTGGTTCTGGCACGGGAATATGCCAATCGAACTCGAATTTCTTCGTCATGGCGAAGGCCTATTCATAATATCAAAAACTCACATAGTTATAGTTTCGAGTGTTGATAATTTCAGAAAAGTTGAAGTAAATCATATTTTTCCCATTCCTATACAAAATGTTTACAATTTTCACATAATTATTTTCAGTGACATTTCGGTAGTTTTGACAGTTTCTTCTGACAGATGTCAGCTCGTCAGACGACAGCTGGTTTTTTATCTGGGGCTGCTTTCTTTTCGTCTTTGATCACATGAACACACTTAAACATAACAAATCTTATTCATAAGTCAGGTTTTTTATTTATAAATAAAATAAAAAGTAATAGATTTTATAAAGAGTAAGCATATGTATACACGAGTTTTTGGTTCATTAGTTGTCATCAGTACGGAATAGCCACAGTATTCCGTGACCATACCATATGGAATACTGTGGTATTTCGTATGGTGCAAGGTTGAGCAACATTTGCATGTAGGAAATAACACAAATGCATAGTCATTCAGAAAGCCTTTGGTTAGAGGATTCACTTAAGCCACCGTGGAGGCAGTTTTAGCTACCTTCGTCACGTCCGGGACCAAATGTTGCCCATTATCGCATAACATATTATTTCAAAAGAATGATTATTTTTTTGCTTGAAGCCGAAGTTTTTGAGTTTTACTTCTTAAGTTTCCACCAAAAACTTAAGAAGGGATCTTTAGAGACTCCCCCTCCACGAAACTCTACCCCTACTCAAAATATTTTCATTATGCTATATACTTAGGGAACTTTCCTCTTCATTATTATATTAATTTTGCTTCTACACTATTTTTTCAGTGATTTGGCCTTTTTTGGGTCTTCGTTTATTAGACTATATATACAAGTAGTTGTTGAGTAATTGAGTTCATAACTTCTGTTTTAAATATTAGTCAAAATATACTTTTTTTAGAGGAGCTGCGAAACCCTCAAGTTCCAGTGAAAAGGATATGGTTTCAGCAGGATGGAGCACCACCGCATTACCAAGTTAATGTCTGGCAATACCTCGATACAACATTTCCCAATCGGTGGATAGGGAGGCGAGGATCGATTGAATGACCACTGCGATCATCAGATCTTTCTTCATTAAATTTCTTTTTATGGGGATATGTGGGGGTTATACGTGTCATTCGAAGGGGGTTGAAGATAGGGGTGGCATTTTTACGTTGAAGAATGCCAAATTATAATTTACATTTGACGTATTTTGGGATTTTTTAAATATGTACATGTAACATTTTCAGGTCTTGTATGTTAGTTCTTTCGATAATTTTTCTTGAATCAAGAAAAATGTGTGTTACTCGGCAGAGAAACAGTATAAATGATTTCACCTTCTTGTATTCTCTGTGGTTGAGGAGTCACAAGTGGATTTATTGTGTCTTGAGAACACCAAAAAAATGCTAAGTATAAAAATTTATTTTTTTCATTGAAATTTAATTTGCTCACTAAATTTATGAATACCTACAAGTTACTTCTAATTGGACTTTACAGTGGTTTATATTACGCAGTAACTTTTCGGAATAAACTATTAAGTTTGCCTTTATTACACTTCAGCAGATTCTCTATAGATTTGCCCCCATTTAATTTTCATAGAGTGGAAGATTATAAACCCAAAAAACAGTAAGAAATTTTACCTTCTTGTTATATTGACTTCTACTAACCGAGAGGTATTAAAAAACTACATTACAGTACGCCCGACCATTCTTAATGAGGGATATAATTATTTCATGTTTGATGAACCCACTAATGATACTAGAAAACAAACAGATAAGACTTCAACTCTGCATGATATGGAAGTAAGCAAACAGCCCTGTTCATTATTTTGTGATATTTAGTAACCTCATCTATAAATATTGATCAAATAGTGAAAGACAAATAGTGAAAAACAAAAAACTTTTCAAAAGAAAATTGTGAAAAATTAGGTAGGTATATGAGATCAACGTTAACATGGATTAATATAAAATAAAATATTTTCAAGATGGCGGCATTTCTGTTTACACTGTACCCAAATGAGACGTCCTATACTCGGTAACTACGAAATCATTGGCACACGAAGCCATTCAGTTGTTTTCGGCTGAGAAATTTCAAATTCGAAATGAAGGTACAGAGTTCATTGATGCCGACATTTTCAATGAAAAAACATTCGAAAACTTATTCAATTTAACCATAAATGACCCAAGTCAAGAATTTTAAATGAAATTCTGTAAACATGACATTTGATATTGTTACGTTTTTCCCCGTGGGTTGACCAATAATTGACTACACTGAATAATCAAACTTAACTTTATTTCACTTTAAATACAACAAACACTTCAATCCGCTAGACGCGGATCATCAACTTCATATATAGGTCCTGAACCAGCTCTGGGGGTACCAAAATCATTGGTAAGAAACCAGATTAGGATATGGACCAATAAAAAGCAGACAGAGTACTGGACAAAAGTACCTGGCAACAAACACAGTAGAACCTTCATTAGCGAATCGTCCGAGAAAAGAACCGAATAACTACTTCAATATAGTAGGGATCGGCTCAGAATAATTACAGGGTTACTAACCGGTCATTGTCCGCTAAGAGGACACCTGAATAAAATGAGGCTGTACAACGGAGACCTCAACTGCAGATTATGCAATGAAGGAATAGAAACAGCTCTACACATCGTATGCGAATGTGAGGCACTGAATCACAGGAGGCAGGCAATATATATGGACGTACAAAATTACGTCCAGGGAACGAGACTGATGGAATGGGTGTCATGAGAAGATGAGAGAATGAACGCAATAAGCCCAAGAGGCTGCAGTGTTTTCTGGAGACTTGGACCAAATGGACAAGTCAGACAACTCCCAAGGTACCAATAAAGAATCCCCTTCAAAGAAGTCTCCGTCAGATTTAATACAGTTGTGCCAGCGTTTTTTCCAATCCTCGAAGCAATTTTGATGTACACTTTTTGGTATGTCCTTGAGCTCTCTTAGTGGTTCGGTTCTTATCTCCTCAATCTTCGCAAAACGCCTTCCTTTCGTAGGTCTGTTCAATCTTGGGAACAGGAACAAGTCACAAAGGGGCAAATCTGGTGAATACGGTGGTTAAGGCATGATTAAGGTATTGTTTTTGGACAAAAAATTACGAACAATCAATGATGAGTGAGCAGGTGCATTATCATGATGCAACAGTCATGAATTTTTTTTCCACAATACCGAGCGTTTTCTTCGAATTTCAGAACGAACTTCGCTGCCTCACGCTTCACGCCCAAAATTTCCGTTAAAATTGCATGGCATGAGCCAACTGATATGCCGGCATCCTCAGCAACTTCTCTAATAGTGATTCGACGATTGTCCATAACAAGTTTTTTTTTACTGTCCCAACATTTTCATCGGTTGTTGATGTGCTGGGGCGTCCAGAGCGAGCGTCGTCATTCACATATTCTCGACCTTCTATGAAAAGATTGTACCACTTGTAAACATTTTTATGATTCGGAGTACAAACACCGTAAGCCACTGTCAACATTTCGATTGTTTTTGAGCACCAAATTCCATTTTTACACAAAATTTTATGCGAATTCTTTCATCAAAACACTTTTAACGTTAATGCCTTTCACCGACAAAGTAAACATGCTAAACAGCTGAAACTGTGAACATATGTTGGAGACATGTGTACCAACATGAAAAAAATAAATAAAAAATCGCCAATCGAATATACGTAGCCGGCGAAATTTGAACATTCACTTAATTTTTTAAACAATCCACGTATACCTATACAGTTTTTTGATAAAACAAGTAAAAAGAATATAATGTGAGAACCCTTTTGATTTCAAAAATCCAATAAATGAAAAAGTGGGAAGTAGCAAGTAGTAGATAGCAATTGGATGATCACAATATACATTTCCCATGCTCTTCTTCCAACAAAATGTTCTATCGAGGATGGCATTTTACTATAGTTGAAGCAAAAGGCAATAACTATTTTGGGGCTTTGAAACTTTTGTTTGATTTCTGGTATTGATTTTTTTTTAAAATAGTATATACTGAATAGAGGATCGCTTCCAATTGTCATACTGGTTTCATACAAAAAAAAAGAGTTTCGTTGATGTTGACAATACAGATAAATAATAAATAAAATAAACAGAAGTCATATATAGGCGAATAAATTATTATATACTCAAAAAACACTTTTTCGTATCTATATATAGATAGACAGAAGAACCGTTTAGTGGAAATCTCACAATAAAGTGTTTCTTGAATACGTTATGGATTTTCATCAAGTATCGGCCGATTCCATAACATAAAAATAAATTAACTGGCTTACCAAATATTATTATCAAATACGTCAACCACACATAATCAACAAGCGACTTCTTATGTCATAATATTCATAATGGAAGCCTTATTGGAAAACTCTAATTCTATTAACTTCAATCACATTAAATAATCAATATCATTCTCAAATGCAATTAAGAATGACAAGTTATTTACGTGAGTCCTTGAAACATTTATATAGAGTGTGAAATTGGTATGGAGAAAATTAAAAGCCACTTAATTGACCAATTTATACTTGATTACATTCAAATAACATTTGGGAAACTTCTTTGATGAGAAGTAAGAAATAGTTTCCACAATGAACTTGGCGGTATTTTGATTGGATAGATATTCATAGAAGTCATGGGGGATTTAAATACCTCTCAAATTCCTCACTGGGGATAATCTGATAGAATTTCGGTTTCCGTGATTGTCACTTTTAGGGTCTTTCATTAAGCACTTCCCATCTTTAAATTTGAATGAAACAAAGTGTGTGAGATATCATCGGTCAAATATCCGCCACGGCTGAAACGTCCAGTTTTCCATGACTCTCTGGCGCATAAATCAGGCTGAATTTGACCGATGGCATGGGTTATGTTGGCTTTGAGGACAGCTGTGGTTTGTGGCTCATTCGCATACATCTGCGACTTAAAAAAACCCCACAAGAAAAAGTCTATCGGGGTCAAATCGTACGAACTCGGTGGCCAGTTCACATCACCTCCACGTGACATGACCGTGCCCTCAAATCGCTCGTGCAGAATATCCAATGTGGCACATAGCGTCGTCCTGTTGAAACCACATGTCGTTGGTATCCACATCATCCAATTCAGGCCAAAAAAAGTTGATAAGCATCGACCTGTAGTACTCGCCGTTGACAGTGATGGCCTGGCCAACGTCTTTCTCGAAGAAATATGCACCTATGACGCCGCCAGCCCAAAATCCAAACCATACAGTGACTTTTTCGATATTTATTGGACGCTCTTGTAGATTGGTATCGTCTCGAATTCGACAATTCCGTTTTGTTCTATTCATCCAAAAATGAGCCTCATTGCTCAATGAAAATTAGGGTCAAATACCAACTGCTCCAGAGCCCATTCAACTAACACAAGTTGTTGTCTATGGTCGTGTTCCTTCAGTTCAGGTCAGTTGAATTTTGTAAGGGTGCAGGCCCTGCACACTCTCGCAGACAGCGGCGATGTTTTCGGCAGATCTTGCGTTTCGTCGACATACGGGTTTTATTCGATCGTTTACTGAACCAGTGGACTCAAATTTATCCAACACATTACGAAGAGTCCTCTCCGTAGAATGATTATGGCGACCGTAAAATGGGTAAAGCAGGCAGTACGTTACCCGAATAGAACACCCATTTTGATAAGACAATTTTGTTATTTGCACGTATTGTTGAATGCTATATCCGTCCATGGTGATTTTGCAAAACTGACTGAATACATGACAAATAATTTGACAGATGTAGCTTCAACAAAGTTCGGAAGTCATATTTTTCAACTGAAGGTTACCTGTAAATGAGTAAATAAATAGATGATGAGAGATAATCGTGTAGAAATCGTAATCAAATTATAATTATCCAGTAGAAGTTTATCATAAAAGCGTTTCACATAATTTGTATTAGTGCTATTTGTTGTCGAAATACATTCATCGCTATTTATTAGAAAACAAATTCAATATTGCCAAGTGATAAAATTGAAACAAAACTGTCATAAAGATGTGTCATAACAGACATAAAAAGCTGAGCATTTCAAAGCACAAAACCTCCATTATAGAAAAACATTAATATTTTATGAACACGGTGGTGGACCAACAAATTGACGAAACCAAAATGAAAGAGCTGAAACAATGACAGGGAATTGGTACTATCTACTGAAGACGAGCTGCATATGATCCTTGAAATAAAAATAGACCATAACATTCTTTTTTCAAGACTGAGACATCATATATAGAAATATTGTCAAACATATTGATGTATTGAGTAACAATAATTGAAATTTTTACGTTTGGTCCGAATTTCAAATTTCTCATACCAGAAACAACTGATTGGCACCGTGTATAACGATTTCATTGTCACCAGGTATATTCACCTTAATCCATTGGGATTCTAATAAGACAGGAATATTCGAAAGTTAATTTATTAGAAAACCAAAAACAAGTTTAGTCGACATCATTGATATATTTTCTTTTGATAAAACAAATAAAAAGCCCAATTATTGAAAAACTTGGAAGTACCATGTAGCTTCAAAGTGAAATTCATCTTTCGATGTGATATGTTCGAATTGGATGATCACAATATACATTTCCCACGCTCTTCTTTCAACAAAATGTTCTATTGAGGGTGTCTCTTTACTACAGTTAAAGCAAAAGGTAATAAATACTTTGGGGTCTTGAAACTAAATAGAGGATCACTCCCAATTTTCATACTGGTTGTTGACAATACTGATAAATAATAACATGCAGACATACTTTCAAGCAAATGTTAGAAACAAAAACGAAAGTTGACTTCAATATACAATTTTTAGAAAAAAAAATATTAAAAACGAAAATACCTACTGGGGCAATTATTTTTTTCCAAATTCATATCCGAATTTTTAAATCACTCATTACATTTCTACATTTTATTTCAAAAATATCTAGCATTTTCTCATAATTCAATGTATTTAATCAAATGGACCATCACAAACTCTATATGTTTCAACATTTCCAATACACATATGATTCGGTTTCATATTGCCAGAAAATATACAGTAAATTTGAAATAACATCAATCTTACAAAAAATTTTTGGGACTCTATATTGATCAACATCTCAATTGAAAAACCCAAGGCAAACAAAACTCAATTTGCTATCTATTCAGAACTTCACTGTTTCAGTCTCAAATAATACAAGTTTCATGCTCAAGTCGAATCACATTGAGATATTGTATCTGTTTATGGGCTGTATCAGTTCAGGCACCTGATGTTCTTCTTCAAAAATAGATTTTGCATCATAACAAAGTAGAACCTCAGGCAGAAATATCTTTATAAAAAAAACGAAATTTTACTTATGTGTAGTCTGGTCATTTTTGAATTATGTGTACATATTTCCAATAATACAGATACTCTGATGTTTCCCTCATCCGCACATAGTTTTAATTCAAGACAAAGTCAAAACTTTCACGTTCTTTTGTATAAGTTTGACATTTGTGTCAATCTTGGTACTACTTAGTCTTGAGACATAAAATCTCGTAACATTTATCTCTCCCAACTACCTACACTTCAGACACGTTTTGATCTCTGTTAGGGTATTGGTACATGGGATGTTTCATCCCCGCTTGGGGCTTTGTTCACGAGATGGAGCTGTTACCAGTAACAATCTTCCTCTCAGACAGAGGTTTCATACTTGCAGTTCAACCGCGTTGAAATCAATCGAGTCCCAGACACTTTTGGGTCGGATTTCTACTGCACGGATGAGAGGTAACACCTTGAAATCGGTCTGTAAGTGATTTACTCAAATAATTTCAGCATGATCCTGCTGCTGGATGAACGAGAACCATCTGCGAGACTAACCTCTGTGAGGTATCTTCCATAAATGTCTGTTGGATAAAATCAATATCCCGCGTGGTATCAGCCGGGAAAGTAGTTGTTTTCCGGCAGGCATTTAGCAGAACCTACTGTGAAGGTAGTTGGGAGAAATGAATGTTTTGAAATGTTTAATTCGTTAAACATATACGATACAGTTATAGAATACAGTCGTCCGACAAATTACCTATTGACATGTCAAATTCGAAGGTTTTAATTAACAAAAATGTGTATTCATTGAATACATTTTTCTCATTGAGAAAATTGTGTCATGTATTCCTGTTTCTATTTGTACTCTGCATATACTGGAAATAAGATTATGATTATTATTATGGTTATTCAAACTCAAGTAACAAAGTGAGTAACCTCAATAAACATTTCTATCATATTTTGGAATTATTAATTTTCAAAAGCAAAATTTTGACAAAAGGAAGAAATAAAAGGACCATTCATTTGAAAAAGAGTTTTTTCTTCAACCAGCTGTCACCCTCCTACGAACGACAACTCTCAGAGGTCGAAACTTGAGCGAGCTAAAGATTAACGAGGTCTTACCTTTTAACGTGCGATTCCTAGCACGAGTTGGACGATAAGCAGTGAAAATCGATCTTCCATAGGGCTTGAACCACCGTTTCACATAGCAGTCAACTGAATGAATCACATTTCAGTGACTAATACCAACTCATCACATTTCAGTAAATGACCAGTCTGAATGTTCAACAAGGCTGTTGCCAAATTCATGTTCCAATTAGTATGTCATCGATATGATGAAGGTGATCTGGTCTGAATCTTTAATAATTAATTTTTTAGCCATTCATCAGAGTAAAAACTAAAAAGATGCTCGCATCGTTTATTATACATTATTTACTGAAAACCTTTTGGAAACTTACCCATTTCAAATGGAGTTTGAAAAATTTTGTAAGTATATATTATACTTGAATCGAAAGCATGTATTCTTATTATTTTCCAAGAATAGTTTACATGTTTTTCATCTGAGATAATATGGAAAACATTTTGAACGTTACTTTTCCTTCTGTACTATATTAAAAGGAGGGGAGAAAAGACACAACCATTCTTTTTATGTAAAACTAATATTTAAACAGTAAAATTGGTAAAATCGTAAAACAAATAGTGTATTACACATAAATAAGCAAACCGAAAAAAATGTCTTAAAAATCATATAATATATATAATATATAATTAGGTACAATCAATAACAATCTGTTACATAAAACTATTTTTAAGAATTATCACCATAGTCTCTATCACCCACGTTAAGTCGGTCAGGGGCAGAAGTTACATTAAAGCCTAAAATTCGGGCATCCACCTTCAACATTTTCGATTTTTTTATTTTCTTGTTTTTGCCCTGGAAAAAACATACTTTATGAAAAAGAATGGCAATACAAAAAAATCAGTTGGATCTTCTCAAAATATTATTCAAAATATAGTGTGGCCGGTCACCTTTCAGGCTTGATTTCCATAACACTATAATAAATCGCAAATCTATCGAAACACTTACCTTGACCTCTTGGAATTCAGTACTATGTTGCAAGGAGGGGGTAATAGCTGGAGCGGGAGAACACATGTCGTCTTTGTGAGCATTATTTTTGGGTTTGAAAGATCGCCTCTTTTCCAAAAAATTACCAGCAAATTGATGGGTGGCATTGCTTTCGCCTAAATAAAGCTTACAGTACTCTCTAACATCAAAAGCCGATTCAATATCACGTAGAAAAGTAACAAAAGTAGGTACTGAAATGAAAAATACGATTTTGAATCTTAAGACTCGAATAAATGAATGATACTTACTGTCTACATTAGTCGATATATGGGATAAGGTTTTATGGCACCAGTCGGTAAATTCATCCATTGGTGGTCCATTATTGTTATTGTTGTGATTTGCTTTCGCCTCTTCCTTTTTCGCCTTGTTACTCTTAGTTGGTTGTTTTTGTGTTTGTGATTGTTGTTTAACTGTACTTAAAGTATTGGTAGAGTTACTTTTGGATACAGTGGACGGTTTGTTTGCTGTCTGGCGGTTAGATGTATCATCCCAGAATCCACCTGAAATTAAACGATTATTACAAGGAAATTCTTTTCTGAAAATCAACAAAAGAATTATTTTCAAATCAAGCATAAAACAACAGCCTTGATGAATTCTACTGTCATAAATCTATATTGAGTTTCGAGTTATTTTATGGTTTTGGATTTAATGTAATGTTAAATTGGGTGTATTACACACAGTTATGTGTGACCAGCTCATATACGAAGTCTACACAAGAAAATAAGGTGAGTGTCGAAATTTCCCGGGCTACATACATTCGTACACTTCGTACTTAGCTTGATTCATGTTTCAGTAAAGGTATTTCTACAGGATTTTCTGTGACGTAGACCTGCCATACATCTTATTATCCTTTTTTGCATAGTGAATACTTTTGTCATATGGGCGGAATTTCCCCAAAACGCCAGCCCATAAGACATTGCAGACTGTACGAGTCAAAAATATGTTAGTTTGAGTTCCTGCAATGAAACAGTTCCCTGTAACTGTCTCATCACAAAACATAAGCTACTCTTTTTGTGAAAGAAAGTTTTTGGGTTTCTACTACTCCATCTTGATGAAAAAAAAGAATGAGGGAATCTTCCAAAGAAAGGAAGAAAGTAATCAATTTGAAAATAAGTAACTCTATACATGGATGTGTGGATCATACAAAAAAGCAACTTTCAGACACAAAGGCAAGTGTCTTATGGCGAAACATCGATGTATACCAGTGAGGATGACAGTGTTCCATGTAAGTGCAATTTATTACCATTTATTTAAAGTAGAACTCCTGTGAATGATATCTGAATTTCATTCCATAACAAATGTTTGGAATACAAACTGAGCAGAGAAAAGTATCTTCTGTATAATTCAGTGTTCATGTAAAAGTATTTGTTTCGAAATATTTTTTTTCTTTTGTGTAATTCAATGTTTATATGAAAGTAGTTGTTTCAGGAGGGCTTTCTTTCAGTTTGTGCCTGAAAGTTGCTTTTTTGCATGATCTACATATCCATGTATAGAGTTACTTATTTTCAAATTGATTACTTCCTTCCTTTCTTTTGAAGATTCCCACAATTTTGCACATTTTTGATAATGCAATCATGATTACAGTAAACATTTCAAATAATATTTCAGAAACATTTCAGATAATATTTGAACTAGCAGCATTAAAAAAAAACTTATCCAAAGCAGCACCAACATGCTGGTTTCAAAAAACTAGCTAAAAACAGTATAATAACACTTTATACACTACAACAAAATAAGGCTATCGCTTCACTTGAGAATCCATAATACCAATGTAAATAAAATAAAAGTATAATAGTAATTGATACAGAGAAATGAAAAGATTCAAGCCATTCTTTCGTTGAGTATGCTAGTATTAAAACTCTTTATTTTATTCTTAAAGATACTGACATTAGAGCTATCTGTTATTTCCTTGAGAAGATTATTAAAAAGTTTTCATACATAGTGTAATGGGGTTATTTAAGTCAATATTAGTACATACAGGTTCTAAAAAGACTATTACAGGTAAGATTATTGCTTTCGTGGAGCTGATTAACGAATGTGAAGTTATTACATTTGACTTGTTCATGTATAACGTTGTATACAAATTTACCTTGTTCGATTTCTAGAATATCCTGAATAGGCAGTATCTTGGTTACACTGTATGAAGTATCAGTTGAGTTTTTCGATAAAAGTCACTAGTATGGCATCACTTACCGCCGAGTCAGCACTATCAACTTTTTTTAATAGAGAGGGGGTTCTTGTGACATTTTAATGAAAAGTATTTCAATTCTCTATACAATGACCTCTTTGTTAAATTTCAATAAGGGATTGCGTAGTTATTGATGTCTCAATTTGGGTTTAAAAATTTCGTAGCTATGCCACCCTGTCAGATTTTTTGAAATAAACGTTCATTGAAAAGATAAATAAATTAGTAACATCTTTTGCAATAGATAAGTGTTAATTTCAATGACAAACATTTGAACAAAATGTTCTCCTTGAACCAACCTCCTGATAGTAAATCTAAATAGTAGAATCACAAAAAAGTCCTGAATCGGCTTTTTTGAAATGAGGCAGAACCGTCTGCAGGAAAATAATTCATAGAGTTTCTTTTAACATTGTAGATAAAGGAATTTTTATCAGAGCTGATGTTGGAATGATTTGGAAGCTATCGTCTTCATGGCTCTACTCAAACTGAACGTTTTATCTTCTTGTTTGTTTTTTTATACGTTTAGAACGCCTTAGTGCAGGTATTTGTCCACTCCTTTCATCCGGATGTCTCTTTAAATTTGCCTGTACTTGGGTTACACCAGGTAATATCCTTGGTGTTGGTGTTTATCTATGTTCATTGTTTCTAGGAATATGTATTGGTATTGTGTAGTATATTGAATGTTAGGTCTTGTTGTGTATTAATTTGTATTTGTTCCTCGATAAGTGAATTAGGACTCTTGAATTTATGAATATTTAGATTTTCCCAGATGTCCATATGGTTTTCTTTATTGACTTGTTTTATGAGTTTGATGTTTTCTGGTGGGGGAAATTTATGTTGGTTTTGTATGTCGTGTATTGCGAGGTTTCATTTATATGTTATTGGATTTATGTATGCTTTTTTATGCTCGTTGTATCTTTGGATCAGTTTTTTCTTGGTTTAGCCAATATAGAATTTGTTGTGCACTCCTTTTAGGTTTTTGTCTTCTTCTTTTTCATAGCTGTTTATTTTTTGTGTTATTTTCGTGTTCGGCTTGTAAGTGATGTTGATGTTCAAGTGTTTGAAGTGCTATTTGGTATATAATTTTCCTTTCCTTGTTATGGGATTCATTGCAAAGTGGCATCCTTAGCATTCTGTATATGAATGCGTAATAGGCAGCCATTTTATGTGATAGTGGGTAGTTAGAACTTGCGGGTATGGTGGAGCTTGTTTGTGTAGGTTTCCAGTATATTGCCATTTGAAATTTTGTTTTGTTGTGTTATATCCGATAGTTATATATATTCATGACTCTACTCAAACCTGTTCCATTAATAATTCTAACCTTCTCTTCAGTTTGGTATATAAAAGTTGATATACTTGTTTTCTTTATATTGAAAGTCATATCATTTGCTGAACACCATTCAGCCAGTTTTCAGATCTTTGGAAATTATTTGAAATATTGGTTTAGGGTAGTTACTGCACCACGATAAAGCTGCATCAGCAGAGAAAAGGGTGAATGTGCCTGCATTTGGTATATAAGTGATATCATTCATATAATGGAGATACAAGAGTGGTCCCAACAAAGAACCTTGTGGCACTCCACACATCACGTTTTTCTTTTCAGATGAGAATTCACCATTTCTGACCAGTTGCTTTCCATTTTCCAAATGAGAGCGGAACCATTCTAGAGCTATCCTCATCGAACCATAACAAGAAATATTTTCAAAACGTGCAGCACTATAAAAATGATCTTGGATTTTTCAACTGTTTAGATGATGTATGAGACAAAATGTATATTTTATCAATTCGAACACTCAATCCTGTAAATTGAAATAGCAGATGCTGTACCAGCCACATTGAGAATACCCAAAACCAAACAACAATAATAAATAATAAATGCATTTGAAAACTTACCAGAATTAGATGACCACTGGGTATTAGGCTGAGTACTAGCCCACGTCAAATTCTGATTGCCCCAAATACTAGATGAATTGTTTGTAACTGGAGCTGGTTCTTTCTCTTTCTGTAGGCGAGATTCTGCCGCTTGCTATCAAATGAAATATAATTATGTAATTATAACAACAACAACAACGGAATTGTATGGACTTCATCTTACACCCTTCAAGAACAAAGTGGTATCACTTAAGAGAAATTTGAAAGGCTATTCAAGTCTGAGAGACATATTTTGTGGGAAGTCAAGGTTTCTTGCTGCTTATCTTAGTTACTACTCTTCCACAATCCAAAAAAATAAATAAAGCTAAATCAATAGAGAATGTACTGAAGTATATTAAAGGGTAAACTGAAGAGATCACCCAAAAAAGTTGGAGTTTGAATTCTGTTTGTCCGTTAACCATCTATCACCCCCTTACGAACGACAACTCACAAAAGTCAAAACTTGTTTTTGTAACCTTCGTAGTTATTCAGAAATGGGATAATTTTGTTTATCATTATGATCTTCAACCAGTAAATATCAAATTCATCATCATGATCTAATTTAAAAGTTTTCATTGTTAAGACTGCCATCAAAGAGACTTAATGATAAGGAAACATGAATACAAACAATTATGAAACGACCGAACTGTCAAATGTCAGTATCATGACAAACAATTATCATAGCACATAGATTATTTGAGAACTACTGTTGGAAAGTATAAACTTTTGAAATTTAACTAGTTTTATAGTTACAGAGAAAAATAAATGTATATTGAGATATAGTCGATTGGGAAAATGTTCTGGGTCTAAACCATTCCAACAAATATATTTTTCATCAAAGAAAGTTCACCATTTTTTTTTTAATTTAAGAGTCTTAAACTGCTAAGATTATTAGCGGCCATATGCATCAATCTTAAAGAGATGCAAAGTTTCACAACTACAAAGATAGTAGTTTTATAAAAATGACAGGTGCTCATATCACCATTATTTCCTGATTATTAAGGACTGGCTGAAGTATAATTTGAAGTTCTCATTGTTCCAATATGTAATTCATGGTGCTAGAAAAAGAATATCTAATTTCAAAAATTAAATTCAAAAATTGAAAAAATATTAAACTCCTCAGCAGAAGTGATTCTACTCCAAACAAAATTTGAGGAAATTAAGTATTTTAGAAGAAATACCTTAGCCAATCTCTCCTGTTCTTCTGCCTGAATTTCAGCCAATGATTTGACTTTTCTTGGCTCTACTCTTTTCTTTGCCCAGTTCAGCTGTATTCCGGCAGAAGATTTCTCCTGCTGGATTTGCTGATATTCCTTTTCCTGCAGGAAAAATCAATCATTGAAATAATCAGCATCAACAAAAATGTAGCACTTTATAAATATTTTTAATGTTTCCAAAAAGAAAAATTATATACCTCCTGCAACCTCTGCATCTGCAGGGCAGCATCGATAGCCCTCTTTTCCCTTTCCGCTTTCTGAATCTCTGCAAGACTCATACCAAGGTTAAGGTTCGATTGAGACCATGGAGCTGCCTTTGCCAATCGAATTTGTTCGGCTTGCATTCGCCTTTCTTCGGCTTGCAACCTCTTTTCCTCCTCTTGTCGCCGTCTTTCTTGTTCCTTCATTTCTTCCCTGAATTAAACCACAAATCATTTGTCGGAATCGCAAGTAATCTTTCATTTTTTCATACACGACTGACAGAATACTAAAATTCGAAATAAACCAAGAACTGTCAGAGGAAAATAATCCCATTGGGGATTCCTCAAGGTGAAGTATTAGGTCCTCTGCTGTTCTCATTGAATAATTGAATTAATATGTACTTTTTATTTTCCTATAAAAAGTCTCAGAAATGACCGTCAGTCATTGCTGAGACTATCAGATATAACCTTTGTTCTCGTAGACAATGCATAGCACTGATGATGTCTGCTGCAGTAGCAGAAGAAACGTTTATCGGTTGAGGAAAGTTACTTTAGATTCATTCAGAACCAAATGAAGTCCACATACCTCAATCTGTCATCTTCCAACTTCTTCTGTTCCTCCATTTTCTTTTTGGCATCCTCCTCTGCTTTCCTTTGTTCCTTAAGTCTACGTTTCTCCTCCAACTCCCTCAATCTCTTCTCTTCTGCTTCCTTTTTAGCTTTCTCCAGTTCTCTTTTTATCCTTTCCTCCTCTTTTTTTCTCCTGTCTTCTGCCGCCTTTTTTTCTGCTTCCTGAAAAAAAAAGATGATTAATTCTGTTTTGCAATTGGATTGAAAATTCTTACCAGTTTTTTTTGCTCCTGCTTTCTCTTCTCCTCGGCCTCTTTCTTTGCCTGCTTCTCTTCCTGTTCTTTCTTTTTTTTCAATTCTCTTGCAGATATTTCATCTTTTATAGCTTGTTCCTTTTCCTTCTCAACTTTAGTACGTTTAGGCTGAGGAGGAGGTTGTTGAACTTTTTCTGTTGGAGAAGGAATCTGGGGTGTTTTTTCTGTTTGGGGGATATCCCACATGGACACAGGAATTTCATTTTGGGGCTGCCATTGAGGAGGCGTATTCGAGGGGAATGAATTCGGTTGCCATAAAGATTCCACCTAAAAATACATATTCATAATGAAAATATCTGGTATCAACTTTTTATTTAAGACTATGGTCATGTAAATGAAAGTGAATTGTGACTTCAACAGAAACAGATTGGAATAGAATTGATGCTGCATATCTATGTATCTTTAGAAAAAGTAGAGACAAAACTAGGAAAGGCAGGATAAGAAATAGTTTTAGGGACAACTCAAATCGATAGACAAGGTTATGCTAGAAGGAATGGAGAATGATTAGGCCACATTTGTAGAATACTAATAGAAAGGCAAGATTAGTGACTGAATGAAATTCGGAAAGAAGATATGTGATGGAATTGATACTTGATGAAAATCCATAACTTATTCAAATAACACTTTAGCAAGCGTCCAAAGTACAAAGTCTCTGATATGAGAATAGTCCTAGAAATTTCACAAATGATTAACAAAGTACTTAGTTATAGATGATTAGTTCAAACATATGGTTCAACTGACCTGTTGTGAATGCTGCGACTGCTGCTGAAGTTGTTTCAGCAGACTACTAATAGGGTCATTACTTGGGCCGGAACTGATCTGATCAACAGGTCCGTGCGGGGTATGCCTAGGAATATTAATACTTCCTCCAATACTGACAGGTATATTGCTTTGAATCCCCGACAGAGGCAAAGTGCTAGTGTTGAGCGGAGGTACTGTTTGTAGGCCTGACGATAAGGTTCCAGGCGGTAACGGAACGGAATGACTCGTTAAGCCTGCCGGTAGATTGTTAGTCAATGCTGCTGTCGGGATACGATTTTGTAGAGAGAGAATATTACTCATATGTAACTGTATACTAGGGTCTAGACTTCCTGGTATGTTTTGAGGCGGCTTGTCGACCAATCCTGTCGCCGGAAGTTTGTTTGCCTGAAAATTCAAAAAAAAAATCACAAGGTTAATTCCGCACTGTATTAGAAGTGATTTCGAATCGATAACAGAAATTGATGAATTCAAGATCACGTATTGTGTCAAAAATTCGACTTTCATTCATTTGACAAACGGAAGTACTCACTTGCTGCATTTGATTTATCATGTGCATCAGTGGATTGGCCGCCTGTGAATGTTGCAAGTATTGGAGATCTGGGGAAACTTGCTGGAAAAAATTCAACAGTTATAACTCACAAGTCAGCACCAAATTTATGAAAAAATAACGTTACAAAGCAATATTTTACTATAACATCTGTACAATATCAAGGCAAATTCTACCTGTTGTTGCATAATCAGTCTTTGTGTAGCAAGTTCCTGTTGTTGCAAGGTAATGGCGCTCCAGGGCTCCGCCAGAACTCTCGCCTGTGCCTGTTTATATGCCGCCATTTGAGACAAGTACTGGAACTGGATATCCGGATCTGGCATTTTCGTGATGTCGTTTTTGAGAATAGGAAAGCGAATACCTGTTTGGAAGGGGTTTACGCCCCCACATATCGTTATCAGTTCGCCTAACAAAAAGAATCGTTCGTCACAGTGTCGTCGAACTTTTAGCTGGTTGCTGAAATAGCCAGCTTTGAACCATTCAGCCATTTCCATGTTCGAGAACGGACCTTGCATCTGACCCTGAAATATCACAAACTCGTGTTATCAACCTCGCAAAATGTTCATTTTTTGAGGCTACATCTAGATCAAAAAATACACAAAATTGTTTTTCTTCAGATATATGAATACCAATTACTTGACAAAAACAAAATCAAGAAATTCATTATCTTTTTAGTTCCAACAGCATTCAAATGATTGATCACAAGATAACTGATTCCACTTCTGACAGTTCTGATTGTTACTAATATACATAGACAATGAAAAGTAATTTAAGAAAGTTATAAAAAAATAAAAAATTAATGTCGAAGAAATAATAACAATTTATTTTCCCAAGAAACATACAATGTTTATAGCAGGGAAAAAATAATAATTTTAGAAACTAACTATAACATAACTGAGTATGAACAGAGCTTACAAAAAAAAAGATAAATCAGAACTGAAACTTGAAAAAATATAAATATACCTATACACACATATACACATATATACATACATATATGTTTGAATATGATTATCAACATCATCAACTCATCAGATAGTATATCTATATAAACAATAAATATTTTTTCAAATTAATCCGGAATTTTGTTTATTAAATTTTTTCTAAGCCTTTGGTAGCTCATTATAAAATTTGGTACCTTTATAATAAATCGAATTTTGACCAATATTTGTTTTCATTAATTTCAGACTGCCTGAATATCTTGTCAAATGGTTGTGTTGGTCACCATTTATTTTGAAAGTCAATTGAATTTATGACAAATTTAATAGTTTTTTGGTTTAAACCAAAATATCGGAAATTTCATAAAATAAAAGACGGTTTTCACTATGAAAAAAAAAAAAAACCAATATCAAGAGGTAAGGAACTTTTTTGAGATACCTTCTTAGATCAACCCCTTGTTATTAAATTGTAAAACAATTCACAACACTTGAAAGGAGAGATTAAAAAAATGTTTCTGAGGCATACGACAAATACTTTATTGAAATTGAATCAGTTTACTTGAAAATAGTTGAATAAACCAAAACCGGTCATAATAAACAAAAATCGTAGTAGAAGTTAGACTAAAGTTATTTTCTTCAACCTATATTAAACAAATTATGTTAACTGAAAATATTGTTTGAATAAACAAAAAAAATTAATTGATTTCAGTACATACTAGTCTAAATGAAAGGTTTATTTGTATGAAAATAAAATTAGACATCCTAATCCGAATCTGAATTATATTTCTCGCAAAAAAATTTACAGATGTTTGAAAATGATCAGTTCATCACACATGAGTAATGCATTACACTAGCTTACCTAAATTTCTCAAAAAATAATCTGGAAAAATATATGCATTATTCATTTCATTGAATTAATAACTTTTTTGAGTCGAGTGAGTTTTTCATTTTGCTGCTCAATATATTCCATACAATGTTCAATTTTCAGTTATAAGCTGTTGTTTTTTGTGAAATATGATATCAAAATCAACCATGTAGATTCCTTACCTGAGGATCCTGATAAAACCATTTGTCGGGCATTTGTGGCACAGCTAAATTTGGAGGCGGATGTATACTTCCCATTTCCAAGCTATTCATACTTGGCTTAGGCAATTCTTCGTCTACAACCAGTTTAAGAACAAAATCTTCTTGAAGCCTTTCGAAATCTGAATCCTCGTTTCTGAAAAATTACACAATATTATCAACTTTGAATGGATGTTGAATCAGAAATTAAAACCTTGGCTTTTCTCCTATTGGTCCATTAGTTGCTACAACTTTGTTCTCGTTTGGGGGAACTTCAGATTTAACTCTTTCTTGAGCTCCTTGATTTTCATCAATTTTTTCCGGAATATTTGGAACTGATTTCTTTCCCTCTTCAGTTGTAACCATTTCTGATGATAGATTCGGGTCATTTTCTGCTTCAAGTGGCGGGTCCTGAAGGAATTTTTAAAATGATCACTAATAATTCCGGAAATAAAGACAGAAATACCACCAACGTTAACTATTGTTTGTCGGAAAACAAAAAGTCACATGTTTGATTCAACATACATAACCGTAACAAATCCTATTCAAATATATGACAATATCAAAAACTGACCCAACCATTTTTAGAAGAATATACTAGAATATACTAGCAATATACTAGCAATATTACTAGCAATATACGGGAATTATGTAAAGGTTTACATAATTTCAGGAAATATAAGAAAATAAATGTGTTTTTGGGAAAGAAAGTTTTTGGCTTTCTACCACTCCATCTTGATACAAAAGAAAAGGATGAGGGAGTCTTCCAAAGAAAGGAAGGAAGTAACTCTATACATGGATGTGTGGATCATGCAAAGAAGTAACTTTCAGACACAAACTGAAAGAAAGTCCTCCTGAAACAGCTACTTTCATATAAACATTGAATTATACGAAAGAAAAAATGAATGAATGTCATTACGATGTCATCGATGACATAAGCAGATCAAGCTTATTCCGTGACATTAAAAAATCGTAATTCATGAATGAAGTGTGTTATCCAATTTGGTACTGAAGAGCCTTAGGGCAAGTGTCTTAAGGCGAAACATCGGTGTATACCAGTGAGGATGGCAGTGTTCTATGTAAGTAATCCCTACAGAAAAATCCTCAAGTCGCTCTAAGAGCGGTGCCTGTGCGAAAGTAGTGATTCACATTGGATTCACGTTCTCAGATAGTTCATTTCACATAAACGCAATTCTCCAAATGAAATAATACTTTGAAACATGCATCTCTCGTAAAGCACCCACACCGTAGATTCTGCTAAATGCCTGCCAGAAAACAAGTACTTCCCTGGCAATATCACGCTGGACATTGAATCTTTCTTACTTAGTTATGTTATAGTTGGTTTTTGAATCATTGTTTTTTATCCCTGCTATAAACATTGTATGTTTCTTAGGAAAATAAATTATCATTATTATTAGAATGATTATTATTAGAATTGTATCCGACAGACATTCATGCAAGATGCAAGTCTTTGATGTTTCTCGTTAATTCAGCAGCAGGACCATGCTGAAATCAATCGAGTAGATCACCTACAGGCCGGTTTCAGGAAAGTTAACAATTTTTTAAATATTCTGAATCATTTGCGAAATCTTATTGAATATATACTCATTTTGTTTCGGTGTATTTTATGAAGATCCTCGACTTGATTTTTGAGCTATTCCCTTAAAAATGAGTTCAACTTTGAGTTCACCTCTTTATAACAAATGCCAAGGGAACTGAATTGATCTTAATTCAAACATCAAGTATTGCAGTAAGCATTTTGTGAATATGGAATGTAACATCAGTCAGTATGGAAATACAACATATAATGTTCCACAGGGATCAGTATTGGGACCTTTATTATTTCATTGTTGAAGTTAAAAGGTTCGATCAAGCTATTTGCAGATGATACTACCATTATTCATTGTGGATCTGAATTTGATTCTATGAAAGATGAAGTAATTCATGATTTGAATACAATTTCTTTCTGGTTACAAATTATTAAATTAATATTGAATTTTTCAAAATCATCTTATATATTTATAAAAAAAGGATGTAATTGATATTCCACAATCAAATTTGAAAGTAATGAGATCATATACAAAAACTACATAAAATTTCTAGGAGACTATATTGATGAACATCTTAAAAACAAATAAACAAAAATCGTAGTAGAAGTTAGACTAAAGTTATTTTCTTCAACCTATATTAAACAAATTATGTTAACTGAAAATATTGTTTGAATAAACAAAAAAAATTAATTGATTTCAGTACATACTAGTCTAAATGAAAGGTTTATTTGTATGAAAATAAAATTAGACATCCTAATCCGAATCTGAATTATATTTCTCGCAAAAAAATTTACAGATGTTTGAAAATGATCAGTTCATCACACATGAGTAATGCATTACACTAGCTTACCTAAATTTCTCAAAAAATAATCTGGAAAAATATATGCATTATTCATTTCATTGAATTAATAACTTTTTTGAGTCGAGTGAGTTTTTCATTTTGCTGCTCAATATATTCCATACAATGTTCAATTTTCAGTTATAAGCTGTTGTTTTTTGTGAAATATGATATCAAAATCAACCATGTAGATTCCTTACCTGAGGATCCTGATAAAACCATTTGTCGGGCATTTGTGGCACAGCTAAATTTGGAGGCGGATGTATACTTCCCATTTCCAAGCTATTCATACTTGGCTTAGGCAATTCTTCGTCTACAACCAGTTTAAGAACAAAATCTTCTTGAAGCCTTTCGAAATCTGAATCCTCGTTTCTGAAAAATTACACAATATTATCAACTTTGAATGGATGTTGAATCAGAAATTAAAACCTTGGCTTTTCTCCTATTGGTCCATTAGTTGCTACAACTTTGTTCTCGTTTGGGGGAACTTCAGATTTAACTCTTTCTTGAGCTCCTTGATTTTCATCAATTTTTTCCGGAATATTTGGAACTGATTTCTTTCCCTCTTCAGTTGTAACCATTTCTGATGATAGATTCGGGTCATTTTCTGCTTCAAGTGGCGGGTCCTGAAGGAATTTTTAAAATGATCACTAATAATTCCGGAAATAAAGACAGAAATACCACCAACGTTAACTATTGTTTGTCGGAAAACAAAAAGTCACATGTTTGATTCAACATACATAACCGTAACAAATCCTATTCAAATATATGACAATATCAAAAACTGACCCAACCATTTTTAGAAGAATATACTAGAATATACTAGCAATATACTAGCAATATTACTAGCAATATACGGGAATTATGTAAAGGTTTACATAATTTCAGGAAATATAAGAAAATAAATGTGTTTTTGGGAAAGAAAGTTTTTGGCTTTCTACCACTCCATCTTGATACAAAAGAAAAGGATGAGGGAGTCTTCCAAAGAAAGGAAGGAAGTAACTCTATACATGGATGTGTGGATCATGCAAAGAAGTAACTTTCAGACACAAACTGAAAGAAAGTCCTCCTGAAACAGCTACTTTCATATAAACATTGAATTATACGAAAGAAAAA